GGCTACACAATGGTAATATTAATATTTAGAAATATGGGATTTTTTGACGCATTTCAGCGCGCACAAGATGGGACACTTAAAATTGTTGAAATTGAAATGCATTTCATTTTGATGATTTCCACTTCCACTCCACTCTTGATGCTCGAGCATCTCGTTTACATTGTTTTCATATGTACGCTAGATAAAAAAGATCAACTATTACAGTACTGAACAATGAAATATCATATTCGAAAAAAGAGATCGTCACTTTCGCGCATCTGTAACTCCATTGTCTTTGAGCTTAAACTATTAGTGTTATACATTTTCTGAAAGCTCTTTTCAAGGGCTACACAATGGTAATATTAATATTTAGAAATACGGTAAAGACAAGGGAGTTACAGACGCGCGAAAGTGACGATCTCTTTTTTCGAATATGAGATTTCATTGTCCAGTAGTGTATCTTGAAGTTAAAACCGAGATAGTTTAAATTTATAGTCAAAAGCTGAAGTATACTTATTTAGCTAAAATATTCTGACATTCAGGATCAATTTGGCTCGTTTTTTTTCCAGCATTTCCTTGAATTTTCAAAGAGAAAGCGATTACCTATTACATCACACAAGTATTAAGAGTGCCTTGACTTTTCTGTGAAAGAGAAGCCCGTATTTTTGTGATCTCTTTTTGAGATTTTGCGAGAGTGAATGTGAAGAGATCGGCGAGGGGAATAATGCATAACAAACGTCGTTTGCTTCAGCTCTTCGCTGAGAGATTTCACTCTGTTCTTCCCTTGTGATAGGAATTTTTTTTCGCGACAATTGAAACGACGCACACCCATCATTTCACCTTTTTTTTTCTTCCGCCAACTCGTCAACACACTTTTGATGATTTGACGAATCGGGGACCGAATTTTGAGGAACTTTTTGTCAAACAAACGAATTTTTAACCATATTTTAAAAAGCCAAATGTTTATTTCGCAGCTCGTATCCCTTTTTTTAAATATTGGGTTGGTGAATTGAAAACTGCGGAACTTTGAACGAAAATTTATTCAACATAAAACCATCAATTCATTCGAAATAATTTCCATTATTATTTCTTCTGCTTCTGCCCATTTTACAGGCAATTTGCGGATTCCTCTTTCGTGGTAGGATTTTGGTTTGTGTGTGAGACTCAAAAATCGAGGACTGGAGATGTCCCACAAGCTCATTACTCATGATCCGAAATAAATAGTAATCAAAAGGGGCGAGGTCCGGACTGTATGGGGAATGCGCCAAAAGTTCCCAAAAAAGGCTATTTATTTTAGAGCGAGTCAGTTTTGCTGAATTGAATTGAAAACTGCCGGACTTTGAAGTAAAATTTATTCAACATAAAACCATAAATTCATTCCAAATAATTTCCATTATTATTTCTTCTGCTTCTGCCCATTTTACAGGCAATTTGCGGATTCCTCTTTCGTGGTAGGATTTTGGTTTTGAATCGAAAAACTTTCAAAGCGAATTTTTGACTGCTTCTTCCGAATCGAAGTGTTCTCCCGCAAGCTCATTACTAATGATCCGGAATAAATAGTAATCAAAAGGGGCGAGGTCCGGACTGTATGGGGAATGCGCCAAAAGTTCCCAAACAAGGCTATTTATTTTAGAGCGAGTCAGTTTTGCAACATGAGGGCGCGCGTTGTCGTGGATAAGAACGATCTTTGACTTGGAGGGCCTATTCTTCTTTAGGGATTCACCTTTTCCAACTGTTCACTGTATTTGATTGCATTAAGGGTCGTCTTGTTGTTATGGTGTTAAGTTATGCTAGAATCCATGTATTGGGTTGGTGAATTGAAAACTGCGGGACTTTGAACTAAAATTTATTCAACATAAAACCATGAATTCATTCGAAATAATTTCCATTATTATTGACGACTTCTGCCCATTTTACAGGCAATTTGCGGATTCCTCTTTCGTGGTAGGATTTTGGTTTGTGTGTGAGACAAGTGTGAGACTCAAAAATCGAGGACTGGAGATGTCCCTGGAGGACGTTTGAGCACTTTCTTCAAAAGAAACCCATTTTGGTGTCAATAGAAAAGTTGCAGAGAATCAAAAATTAGGCTTATAGCCAAATTTCCAAAAAGATACACTTAGTAGTTTCGCTTAAAATGCAAGTTTTGTGAAAATTCGTAAATTTGGCATTTCTTGAAAACCAGTTTTTGAATCGTTCTGAAAATTTGGATATAAGCTTGATTTTTGATTCTCTACAACTTTTCCATTGACACCAAAATGGGTTTCTTTTGAAGAAAGTGCTCAAACTGTCACATATGACAATAGCCCGGAGTTTTCAATTCACCAACCCAATATTTGAATTGATTTAATCCTTTTATTTTCAAAACTTGAATATCTTTGTTCGATTAAACAAAATAACTAGATTTCGAGAATCGATTTGTAATTTTCTAAAGCATTTGATGCCTTTTTTTCATTCCAAAATCCCATCCTGAATGTCAAGAGAAAATACTTTTCATCAAACTTACAGTCTTTGCTTTTCTGGACTCCCAAAAACTAGCCCTTAATTCTAGCCTGGTTCACTTTATCATAATTGTATCTAACTTTTACTGAGCCAGCTTGATCTTGGCTTTGATGATTACCCAAAAACTATGAGTTATTCAAAAATTTGAACCCTTAACCAACCTAGGTAGACTGGCAGACCTAGGCAGTAAATCAAAGTTGATTATCCTTTCAGATCTGGGTCTGATATCACTCTATAACTATCCCTATCACTCTATAACTATCCCTATCATTCTACAACTATCCCCTATCACTCTATAACTATCCCTATCACTCTATAACTATCCCCTATCACTCTATAACTTAAAACATCTTGTAAAACAACAAACAAAACTTGTATTCATAATAGCTTTTTGTGTTGACGTAATAAATTTAGTTGAGTAGTTTAGTCTGAGAAGGGAAAGGAAAGGAAAAGTGGGCGGTAAATTGGATTTTGGTGGTGTTTACGGGGTAAATCTAAACGGGGAAACTATTTATTTCATTTATTATAGATTTCTTTGACTCATTTATAAGTAAAAATATGAATTTTTGATCGTAAATGATGACAAAATTTCCATTCAAATTGTGTTCAAACGAAGATTTATACTTTTTTTTGTCTTCGAAACATCATTCATTAATGATTTTTCTTAAAGAATCTATTCAATTTTCTTCAATTCTTTTAATTGAATAGATCAATGACGGGAAAAGTGTCTTGGTTTTTATTTTCATTTTTTATTTTCATAGATCTTCTCATAATGGAGCACCTCATTACAGAAAAAGAAGCTCTCAATCCATATCGAGCTTTTCGTTATTTTACTCGGGATCCTATTATTCATTTCTTTTTACAGAATCTTCAACACTTGTAGTTTAAGATTTAGAAAACACACTTATTCAGCGCCTTTCTAGTGCACTTATTCAGCGTCAGCAAATGGACCATACATTAGAAAGATTGTTCTAAATCTTCACAAAGTACAAATCAAAGAATTCCATTCATTTCTCAATTCAATTACCGTATTTTCTCTAATAGTAGTGCACCCCGCTGAGCCGAGTTGATGACGATTTTACAGTTTCCAAACTTTTGCAGAAGCTCAACACTCAAGTCCCCCACAAGATCTCATCGTCAGCTACATTTTCCGACCCCACATCGATAGGTTCTGATAAGCGGTTCTCGTGATTTCAAGCAATTTAGGCAAGGCTCAGGGTGTGTTTTTAATCGGGATTTTATTATTCATTTCTTTTTACAGAATCTTCAACACTTGTAGTTTAAGCTTTAGAAAACGCAATCTTTCTAGTGCACTTATTCAGCGTCAGCAAATGGACCATACACTAGAAAGATTGTTCTAAATCTTCACAAAGTACAAATCAAAGAATTCCATTCATTTCTACATACTTCTTTTCTCAATTTAACATTTCATATTCAATTATATACTAATTTTAGATAGTATTTCTTTCTTATTTATATCTGTTTAAGGAATTTGCCCTTTTTTGAGCTCAAAGTGATGTGCTTGTTAAATGTAGAAAGCTTTCATTTGTCATCTCCATAAGGAAAGCTGCAGTGAAGAAAGATCACTTATTTTTTTGTTTTGTTTAAATCACTTGAATTACTTCTTTCAAGCAATGTTTTCAAATTAGAAAGGGTGTTTAATTTATATCTTCCTTCATTTATATCTTCTTCATTTATATCTTCTTTATTTATATCTTCTTTATTTATATCTTCTTCATAAACAATCGTCTTATTCAATACTTTCCCCAAACCATCCACGCAAGAAGGAATGGTTGCAAGAACAAGAAGCTTTTGAGCATAAAATACACGAAAGAAGCCATGCTAAAAAGCCAAATGAAAGAGTCTTTTTCTTCTATTTCATCTTCAATTTTTTTTTCTCATTCCTCTTTCCGTTCAAATTTCGAATTTTAATAGAAATTTTAGATGAAATTAACAAAAAAATCTCTTTGCTGATTGCTTTTTAAAAATTCTTCGAATTCAATAAAAACTAATCCCCATTTCTGGTCGGAAGGAAAGTTGAAAAGAAAATCACAAAAAGATTCATTCAACTTTTCGATTCTAGAGTGTTCGGCTCTTTGAAACTTTGCAGATTACAATATAAATCATTCCATTCATCGCTTTGTTGGCTTTTGAATTGATTTTCAATTCTTCTAACATTCATTTCAACATTTATTTCAACATTTCTTTCAAATTTCTTTCAATTTCTTTCAAATTTCTTTCAATTCTTTCAATTTTTTCAAATTTCTTTTAATTCTTTCAAAGTTTTTATTGTTCTATCCAAATGTTTATTGTTTTTATTGTTCTTTTATTGTTCTGTTATTGTTTCCACGTCTTTGCATCTATTAGAATTATTTGATTGGCTCAAAAAAAGCAAATTTCTATCAATTTTCTATCGATTTTCAAGTTTAATCAAATCAAATCCAATTCTCACATCAAATTCTTTTCTCAATCTTTTTAAATCCAAAAATTCCAATCCAATTCGTTTAGTGTGAAGGGTAAAAATGTTATTGGCGTGTCTCGGTTTGTGCGTTCTTCTCGCTGGCCCACACGCAATTGAAGCGTTCTCGTTGAGAGATTTCGTTCGTCCAGGCAGCAACAAGCGAGATGCTGGAGATAAATGTGAGTGTAACACTTTTCACTTTTTCTTTTCTTTTGATTTCTTCTTTCTATATAAACTTCTCAATTAAGCACAATTTGAAAATCTTTAAAAATCTTTAAAAATGTCATTAAAACGTTTTCGAGATAATCGAATTTGAATTTATAAAGAAGATCTGTGAGAATTTTGTCTTTTAAAACTTGTGCATACAAGTTAACTTAGCGTTAAAGTCGAAATTCAGCTGTAAAACAGTTTCTTTAGTTATCGGAAAGATTTCATGACAAATTGTAGTTACTTAGACTGAAAATTGGTTACATTTTGAATAATTTGAATGTGATTAACTTGGCTCAAAAATCATGGGATATTTCTTGAAAGATTGAGGTGAAAGTATAGGCAAATTGCATAATTGTTTGAATAAAATGGAGAGGGGAATAATTGGGAAGAGAAAAGGGGGGAAAGGGAAGTGAGGGAAGTGAGGGAAGTGAGGGAAGTGAGGGAAGTGAGGGAAGTGAGGGAAGTGATGTAATGGGATGGGGAAAGGGGAGAAGTGTCCCCTTTTTTTATATAATTGCATTAGTTTTTTTGGGAAAGAAAAGCTCTTCTCCTTTTTTCCCCTTAATCTCCAATAAACTTGAGATCAACTTTTTTTCGGGAATAAGTGGATGAAATGGCAATTTCAATGCAATGCAATAAAGGGCACGTTCAAAGTTTGTTCAAGAGTAAAAGCTATGGGAAGTGAAGAAAAATCGTGGTATCCTTTGTGATGAAGTTAGAACAAATTCAAGTAGTTAATTTGAACATTAGATTATAGAATTTAAATATTGAGTTGTCCATTTATAAATGCGCGTTTTTTATTATTGTAAATTTGTAATGTCAAGATATTAAACAGATTTATATGAGTGTTATATATCATTCGAAAGCTAAAGATCTCCTCTACATTTTGGAATAAAAAAAGTTTTTTGATTTCATTCAACTTTTTGGGGAAATTGACTGCACAAAGGGAGAGGTCATTTTCGCAAAAAAAAAAAATCCTTTCCAGCTTAGCCATTCCTCAAGTTTTATGGCGTAAAATAACGGCTTAGAAAAGAAAAGTAAAGTAAAGATGCTCTGAAATTGTTATATTTTTAAAAAAAAGTTGTATTGATATATCTATTGGCCAAACATCAAACGGTTAACTCAATTTGAGCGGAACCAAAACTTGATCCAAAGGCACCCTTCCATTTTTTTTTTTGGCCACCTCTTCTTCTGTGCAGTCGATTTGCCCAAAAGCTGAACAAATTCAAAAACTTTTTATATCAAAATGTAGAGGAGATCTTCAGCTTTCGAATAATACTCATAAAAATCTTTTTCTTGATTGCGGTACCTTGATTCTTGATAGCTTAAATTTACAAAATAGTAAAAAAAAACGCGCATTCATAACTGGACAACCCAATAGAATAGAATCTGTTATCACAAATAAAGGAAACTTTATTGTGTTTAGAATAAGTTCAAACAAAGAAAACCTTTACAAAACCTATCAATTGCACTCAAAAAACTTGCAAGTTTTCACTCAAAACTTCTTTACTAAAACAGTTCTTTACTTCTTTACTAAAACAGTTCTTTACTTCTTTACTTCTTTACTAACAAGTCTTTCTTTCTTTCCCACCACCAGCTGCATCAAAGATGACTTTTTATACCAAATGTCATTCAAATTGATCAATTGGAGAGAAAGTTATGGGCTCCTAAAGCCATAGTCACCGTCACTCACAGTAAATACTGTGATTTCAACTTTGAAGCTTAAATGCTCGATGATTTTGATGGTTAATGGGACAAATGGCACATTAACAAGTCAGAATTTCATTTAGAATCCAATGATGTCATTTGCGAAACGATTCGGGGCAACTGAAAAAAAGATTTTCAAAAGGGCAAACTCGCCAAATTTGTTTGGGGGTTTTGGTTTGAAAATTCAGTATTGCTTTTTATGTGTATTACTTAAAATTCAAGGTATCTATTCTAGGAAAGTGATTTGTTTGTTTCAAGACAAAATTCAAGATAATTTAAGTAGATTCGATTGAAGAGATGGCAACAATTTCCCTCTTTCATCTAAAGTACACAAATTTCTGTGTTTCACTCTGTTTACTCATCACTTTTCATTGTTTTCTTTCTTTCTTTCTTTCTTTCTTTCTTTCTTTCTTTCTTTCTTTCTTTCTTTCTTTCTTTCTTTCTTTCTTTCTTTATTTCTTTACTTCAAATTCTTCGCTCTTCTTGGGCTTCTTGGGCTTAAAACTTATCAGTATCTAGCTCAAACATTTTGAATATCTAGCTAGATATTTTGAGTATAATTTTGAGTGTCTTTTGAGTATCTAGCAGTATCTAGCTCAAACACACAACATTTTCATTTGACTTTTGTTCTTTTTATCAAAAGAGGCCAAGAATTTTGTAATTCTATCAAGAACTTCAGAAATTGCTTTTTTTTTCACTTTCACAATTCAAAATGTGAGTTACGAAAAAAAATCGGCTGAGAGATCGGGACAATACCGTAAAATCTAATGAGATACTGAAAAGTTAAAAGAGATATTTGTTTTTGAGACTTTTAGTGTCAAATACGTGCTCTATTGAGAGCAAATTTTGTTCAACTTTAGATGCTTTGCTAGCTGAAGCAAATGATCTTCAATGAGCAAATGATCTGCAAATTTTTTTGCGTATTTAAGAGTAGTTTTCGTTTAGAAATCTATAGAAAAGTGTAGCTTTATAAAAGCGAAATAATTAAAGAAATTAAAGATTATTAAAGAAATTATTCAGCGCCGTGTCCCACGTGGCATCCGTTCGAGTGTCCGAGTGGTGAGTGCGTGCCGATCAAATATCTCTGTGACGGATCGCCCGATTGTTCTGATGAGTACGACGAGAACAAGAGCATGTGCACAGCCGGTAGAGGAATTTGAATTTTTAACATTTTGAACGTCTCTTTCACAGCACATTGAGTTTCTAAAGCAAAGCCAGCCTAAAGTTAGTGTCAAAAAATGGAAAGAAATCGTTTCTGGTGTAAATTGCAATCGAAACTTTTCAGCAACCCGACCTCCCGTTGAGGAAACGGCTCTCTTCTTGAAAACCCTTATGCATGCACATGGAAAAGATTTCCTTGTCAAGGTGAGACAGCATTCATTGAGATAACGATTCTACAATAGTAGAATAGATCAATAGAACAATAGAATGCAATTCTACGATTCTACAATACAATTCTACAATTCTACAATAGTAGAATAGATCAATAGAACAATCGAATACAATTCTGCAATTCTACAATACAATTCTACAATTCTACAATTCTACAACTCTACAACTCAATGAATATTTCTATTTTCAGGTATTCGGTGAGAAAGCCAGAAACGAGCTCGCCGGAATGGGCGGCGTGGACAAAGTGGCCGTTTCGTTGAGTCGTAAGTTTATCCAGAAACCCTCATCTACATCATTTCCAATTACAGAATCACCAACAGCTGACGTGTTCGCGAAAGAGTTCGTCTTTAACCCACAAGAGGAGCAGGGAATGATCGGAGTCTTTGAGGGAATCTTGAACGGAACACCCGAAGAGCTCACCGCTAACGAGGTTCGTGAGTCAGTGCTAAGCTCCTGACACTGATAGTGAGCTCCTTTCTTGGCATTTTCAAATACTCTGTTCATAATTCTTTCTGGATTCAAGTTTTAAAAAGCTTTAGAAGCTTTAGATGCGCATAATTATGACGAAAAATCGGCAAAATGCAAAAAGCTGTAAGCTAAAAGTTGAACTAAAGTTTGAATCGAATTTTTGCAAATGAACCAGCACATTTATTGCTTTCCTAATCGAGGGTGGTGGTTTGGCGAAGACCACGGCTGGTCTTGTTACAATGGGAATCGGGTTTGGAAGGCTGGGTAGTAAAGGTCGCATGGGTGCTGGTGCAAGAGGAGTGGCACATTTATTGCTTTCCCAATGGAATAATTCATTTTTCAGGCGTCCGACTTTCGATTTTTCGTCCAAAAACTCCAAGAAACCGGATTTTTCAATTAAAAAAACGTTTCAAACATCATTTTTCAACAAAAAAGAATCGATACAACGTGTATTTCTTAAAAAAAAAAAAACAAAACCGACGGTGATGATCTCAGAAATTTGTTTTGTTTTCTTCTTTAAAAGTTGGATTTCTCAAGAATTAGCTCGAGTTGTTGTATGTGTATTAGACAAATAAACATTTTTCGTGTTGTTTTTTTTAAAGAATTTATCAATTTGAAAGAAAAACAAATGAAAAAAAATTGAGAATAACCCGTATTCGGCAATAAAGAAAGATGCTAGAATTGAGCGGCTAAAATTTCTCAAATAAAATGCGGCTAAAATTTCTCAAATAAAATGCTTTTGAATAGATTTTGAGTGGCTAGATATTAAGGAAATCAACGTGACATACAGTACTGAACAATGAAATATCATATTCGAAAAAAGAGATCGTCACTTTCGCGCATCTGTAACTCCATTGTCTTTGAGCTTAAACTATTAGTGTTATACATTTTCTGAAAGCTCTTTTCAAGGGATACACAATGGTAATATTAATATTTAGAAATACGGTAAAGACAAGGGAGTTACAGACGGGCGAAAGTGACGATCTCTTTTTTCGAATATGATATTTCTTTGTCCAGTAGTGTAGCTCAGCCAATTTGGCATTTCCTAGCGAGTTCAATCGAAACTCAAAACCCTATCAATACTCATCTTTCACATCTTTCGTTTCTCTCAAATCTTTCAACAACAATTTCAACGAGGGCTCGTATTGAATGACTTGGGGCAAGATTGCGGGGAAAATCTCGGAGATTTTCTCAAAGTCAATATTCTGAGTGTAATAGGGAGCTTTGTAAATGCTAAAGGATTGTGCTGGTTTGGGTAAAGCGAAAGAAAACTCGGGTAAAGAGATTTTCGGTGAAGAATTGGTGGAGAGTTTGGAGAAGCGATTGACAGATGGATTTGGAAGATTTGGGATGGAGAAGCTTTTTGGCAGCATGGGGGTAAAGGTACCTGGACCTGATGCGGCCACAGGGACCATAGCTGGCGGAAGTACGGGTGCCAAATAGGGTGGTGGTTTGGCGAAGACCATGGCTGGTCTTGTTACAATGGGAATCGGGTTTGGAAGGCTGGGTAGTAAAGGTCGCATGGGTGCTGGTGCAAGAGGAGTGGGTGGAAGTGGTGCAGGAGCAGGGAAAGGTGCTGGAAAAGGGATCGATGCTGGTGCAATAGGTCTATGAGGTACAAGGGGCATCATTGGGCGGCGGGGTGGTGGCAGAAGGGGAATAGAAGGAACATTTGGTGAAATGATAGGCACACTTCCGGTAGCAATGACAGGTGGTAAAGCGGGGATCACTCTGGCTGGCGGATGGCCAGTGATAGGCACGGAAACGGCTTGTGGTTGGAGGGGAAGGGGCTTCGATAGAAACGGGACAACAACAGGCAATGGACCGGGGTTGATAAGTGGCGGTGTGAGAACGGATGATGGAATGGGGAAACTTGAAAGTGGTGCAGAACGGGGTGGAAGTGGGCCGGGGAGGGAAAGTGAAGGGAATGTGGGTGAAGGAGCGACTTTGATCGGAGATGAGTTGAAAGAGTTGAGTCTCGCTGATGGTGCCGGCAGAAAAGAGATCACGGGTGGTGGTGGGCGGGCAAATGTGGCTGGGATCGGGCCAGGGACTGAACAGTTTTGTAATTATTGAAGGTCCCATATAAGGAATCTACTAGCTATAAAAGAGCAGCGTCTGTCTGTCTGTCTGTCTGTCTGTCTGTCTGTCTGTCTGTCTGTCTGTCTGTCTGTCTTGCCCGCTGTCTATCTGTCTCTATCTATCTGTCTCTATCTATCTGTCTGTATGTACGGGTACTTTCTAGCCGTCTTTTTGACCAATAAAGCTAAAATTTCTTTAGAAAACCTAGAATAATGTCATTTAAAATCAAAAATCTAAAAAAGTCAACATTCGGTGCCCTGTGGGGATCGAACCCGGATCGTGTGGGCGTCAGGGAGTTCTCTCCCGACTGCGCCACGCCTCTAACCGATCTCTCCGGATGGTTTCAGATATCCCTCTCACCTGCAGCCGCAGGAAACGAGTTAAACTTGAAAGCGAATGGGAAGCGAAAATTGGAATCTGAAGAAAGGAAAAAAGGTAGGTTAATTTCCGAAAGCTTACTTTCAACAGCTTGATCCCAACTCGTTTCGTTGAATCTCAGCTAAAGATTTTCTAAAAATGAATTTCGCAAACGAATCCAATGGCACACTTGAATCGGTGGCGATGCATTGACGACGTAGCGACCAATTTGATCGATCACTTGCCCATTAACAGATTTAATCACTGAAGGGTGGGACACTGAAAACTAGAGCTGCTCATTTTCAGTTTAGCTCCCAAAATTTGACCACTTCAACGACTACTTTTCAGGATTTCTTGCTACAAGAAGGTAGACTTTTTCAAGATTTATCTTTTGGTTTAAAAAAACGGTAGCCGTTAAAGTGAGCAAATATCGTCTTTTTTTGTTGTACACTTATCGGCAATTAGACTGAAAACTATTAGATTATCTAGGTAGAGAAAAAATAAAGCAACGAACGAAAACAATATCTTTTTGTGTATTCCTAAGGAGAAAAGTGTGAACTCACGAAATTTTGGAGCACTGTCGATTGATGATGATGGTAGTGCAGTGGCCAAATGCCAGATAAGGAAAATGGAAACTCTGAAGAGAAATCGTTAACGTGAAAATGAGAATTCGATAGGAAACAGGAGCGACTCAAAATTCGTTGGTAAAAGTTGAGCTTAAACAATGTTCTAGCAAGTCTAGCAAGCCTAGATGTTCTAGCAAGTCTAGCAAGTCCTAGATGCCATTTTCTACGTTTTTTTGAAAACTATCGTTATCTTTTCTCTAATTTATTCACTTTTGATTCACAAAGAATACCAAAAGATATTAAAAAAAAAGTAGATTGAGCATTGTTGGAAGAGCTCTTCATTGTTGGAAGAGAGTGGACATCTCAATAAATGAGCAAGGTTACAGTAAAAGAAAAAAGGGTTACTTTTTTAGAAAACGAATTACTTAAAAGAAGCTCTTGTACAACACTTAGATACTTACCTCATTTCGCTAAAATCCTTTGAAAATAAAAATCTATCCACCAATGTCTAAATAATGATTTCCAGGGAAAGGCAAAGGGCTTAAATCCTAGATTTTCGGGGATGAACAAAAGAACAACGTTGAAAAAAGCATGCATGATGGGTGCCATTGTGAAAAGATGATGAAAAGAGCTGAACAGAAGGATGAACAGAAGGCTGAACAGAAGACTGAACATCACAGAAGAGCGTCGAGTGGAGTGCCATCGGAAAGAACAAAGAAAACAGAATGACCACCTCATCAACTTTTTTTTTGCTCTCTTCTCACCTACGTGTGCTTGTTGTAGGGTGTTCGGCTTTTGCGAGAAGAGCTCTTCACTGTTGGAAGAGAGTAGAGATCTCATCCAGACAATTCTCTTTTTGATCGCCTCTTTTGCGCGCAAACAAGAAAACACAGGACATTGGATCGGATGAGATAAACAATGAATGGTGGACTTTAACGAAAGAAGGCTTTGTGAAAGATGAAGATGAAATGGGTAGTTTTTGGGTGCTTTGTAGAGTTTTGTATGGAAGCGATAAATTGAGGTAGCTGTTTTAAAAAGATATCAAAATAAAAACAAGCACTTTTTTTTTGTAGAACTTTAGAAGACATTTATGCAAAAATCTATAGATTAGATTTCTGATATTTCTTTAGTATCATAATCTCTAGTTTATCTCTAGCTTATATTGTACTTTATTGTGTCTAAATCTCTTCCACTTTCTCTGTAAGATCGAAACACAAGTCAAGGCTCATGATGGGAACGGTGGTGACTCTTCAAAATGGTACACGAGCACGACGTCCGGGCTGGTTTGCGGCAAGTCGAGTCAAATTGATCAATCCGCCTCCCTAAATGTGAAGATAAATGACGGAAAATACATTAAATATGTAATTATTCGTATTTTCCACATTATTAGTGTAAATTTTTGCTAATTCGCATAATTTAGAGTAATATTTCTGTAAAAAGTTGTAGAACTTTAAGACTAATATTCAATTTAAACATCGTATTTCTCTTCCTGATAAGAATTTCAAGCAATAATATCATTTTTTTTTGAACACTTTACATACTCTACTTAGGTACTTTGCAAAATTTTGGCATACTTGGATGAGGTGGTCATTCTGTTTTCTTTCTTCTTTCCGATGGCACTCCACTCGACGCTCTTCTGTGATGTTCAGTCTTCTGTTCAGCCTTCTGTGGAAATCTATTATCTACCAAATTCCTATCTGACGCTTAATAAAGGCAATAAAATAGTACAAAAGCTTGTACAAATTGAAATAAAAGCTTTTTAAGCTCATCGACTGCTCATTGTAGCCGTCGTAGCCGACCAGATAGGAGTCTTTTCTCCTAGTCGGGGGGTCAAAGGTTCGATCCCAGCGGCTAGAAAAATTGATTCTTTTTCCCATTATTATGGATCTTTTCTTAACAACATTTGAGTAATAGGGGTGATTAGGGGTAAGAATTTGTGTTGTGTTGTCATTCCGTTGTGTTGTCATTCCGTTGTTTTGACATTCCGTTGTGTTGTCATTCCGTTGTTTTGACATTCCGTTGTGTTGACATTCCGTTGTGTTGGCATTCCGTTGTGTTGTCATTCCGTTGTGTTGACATTCCGTTGTTTGTTTCTTTTTTTTTTTTTTCTTTTTTTTTTTTTTCTTTTTTTTTTCGTTTGACATTCCGTTGTTTTGACATTCCGTTGTGTTGGCATTCCGTTGTGTTGTCATTCCGTTGTTTTGACATTCCGTTGTGTTGACATTCCGCTGTTTTGACATTCCGTTGTTTTGACATTCATTATTCGTGTCGAATAAATAGACTTTTAAAAAAGTGAAACATCAAGCGCTTTTTCTTCGACATTTTCTACAACAACATTTGGGTAATAGGGGTAATTAGGGATCAAAATTTCCTCCGTTGTGTTGTAATTCCATTATTCGTGTCGAATAAATATACTTTATTGTTCCCTCATCTGCAATATTAAACTGAATAATTGTAAAAAGACATATTATGCCATCGATTTCTCGTATATTACCCATTTTAATGTCAAAATTTGCGCTTTTCTTTTGGGCTTTGAAAAAAGAAATGCAAAAGAAAGAAAGGCAAAAGATCTTCTAAATGGATAACATTTTTTCGTCTTTTTTTTTCAGCTAGAGGGCAAGAACCCGGGCCTTTCCTTTTCTCAACTCGATCCAATCATAGCCCATTTTTTGGGGTTTGGGGTGAGTTGGCTGGTCACTTTCTTTTTTGTTTTCCTTTTTTTTTGTCTGCTAAGAGAATGTATTACTTTGCAGTTTATATATTAATGTAAATTTAGATAGCAATGAAAAACCCTAATGAGGCTGATGGGGAGACGAGCGAGAGTGACTCCCTATTGGGCAGTGTACGTTCTCATTGTGCTTTGTAAAAAGAACTTTTCCTTCTCTTTCTTCCTTTCTCTTTCTTCTTTTCTCTTCCTTCTTTGGCAAGAAGAAAAAGCTTAGTGGTTAAAGGTTGCCCGGAAAGTAAAAAGGTGAGGGTTCAATCCCCTTTCCGGAATCTTTCTTTGCCATTCCTTACTTTATTGGAAAGTAAGGAATGGCACCCAGCAGCTCATTTTGGTTATTCATTTAGCCAATAGTTTCTTCATAACAGTCTCATAAATAATCTAGAGTTTTTTCATAGTTATTAAGCTATAAAACAGTTTCAAGCTCCATCCTCCCTTAGAATTTTGTTGTTGATCTTATTGTTAGATATCTAGACACTTCTAGACACTTCTAGACAGTCCTGGACACTTCTAGACACTTCTAGGCATCTGGTATTGATAAAGAACAATTTTTATTATTGAATAGAATAATTTTCTGTTAAATGGTTTACTTTTTTCATTGCTGAACTTCTTTAGATCTCAAATGAGAGCGATTGTGAGACGGTGATCGATTTGGGAACTCACGAGGATTCAGAAGTTCCGGCGAGTCCAACAAGTCCACGAAGTCTTCTCGTTGTTCAGGTAGACAATTTATACTGTAATATTTTTGCTTAGTATTCAATATTACTGAATAAAATCGAATCTCAGTGTTGCGATGAGGAGTTGGTGACACCGATTTTCGAAGAGCGAGTCCCACCTCGCGCCAATGAGGCGATTCCGAGTCAAACCGAGCGAAAAGATCGAGTCCGGGTGAGTTTCTGATTAAATTCAAAATCAAAATATCTAATCCACTTCAAAAATTTTGTTGTTTTTATGGCTTCAAAGTCTTCTTCCTTCCCATGAATTCCCATTGGGGCAAAAATTTTTGAATTTTTTTGTTTGAGAAAAGAAGAGACGGCTTTTCTCAGTTAAGAAACAACGTTTTTTTTTTGGTTGAGAAGATTTTGAGACATTTGTCTGGGAACTTTTTTGTTCATTTTCTGTAAAATCTTTCCTTAAATTTGGTTCAAATTTTTGTCTACTGGACAGTTATGAAGGCTGATTAGATTAGAGCCTGATTCTTTTCCATTTCCATTGCTTCTAGTTATTTTAAAAGTTTAATGATTTGAGTGATTTCAGGGGAATCTTTTTAAATTAGAAGTTTTTGCTTATTTTTTGGGGAGTGGGACAAATGCGACCTTTTCCTTGCGCACCCGGACATTTGCGCACCTTTTTTTCCGCACTTTGCCCATTAGCGCTCCTTTTTTCGCGTTTTAAAAAAGCTCTAAAAAGCTAATATTAACCAATTTCTATTCCAAATGTTGTTTTTCTAGGTAATTTGAGGGCGTAGAATCGAAATTTTGACATATCAGAGCTTGTGGAAACAAACGGACGGAGTTATACAAAGAGAGAAAAATCGACAATTTTCTGTAATTTGATCTAGCCGTTTTGTCTTTCAAATTGGTTCCACACGCTCTGTTATGTCAAAATTTGAATTCGACACCCTCAAATTACCTAGAAAAACAACATTTGGAATAGAAATTGGTTAATATTAGCTTTTTAGAGCTTTTTTAAAACGCGAAAAAAGGAGCGCTAATGGGCTAAGTGCGGAAAAAAGGTGCACAAATGTCCGGGTGCGCAAAAAAAGGTCGTCCCACTCCCTATTTTTTGATAAGAATCTTATTATAAGACGCAAAGTTTGTGTGTGTTTGTTCGTTCACTTCATAACTCAAGTTCTACTGGGAATTTTGATTCTGATTTTTTAGAACAATATATAATCGACTATCATCGACTTTTAGAACAATATATACCGTATTTTCTCTAATAGTAGTGTACCCAAAGCTTTGCCTAAATTCCTCGAAATCTCGAGAACCGCTTATCAGAACCTATCGATGTGGGGTCGGAAAATGTAGCTGACGATCAGATCTAGTGGGGGATTTGAGTGTTGGATTTCTGGGAAAACTTGGAAACCGTAAAATAGTGATCAACTCGGCTCACCGGGAAATATTAGGGAAAAGATCAGTCTGATCTACTAGCTTAACCTGGAATAATATACCGTCTTCCCTCTAATAGTAGTGTACCCAAAGCTTCGCCGAAATTCCTCGAAATCTCGAGAACCGCTTATCAGAACCTATCGATATGGGGTCGGAAAATGTAGCTGACGGATGAGATCTTGTGGGGGATTTGAGTGTTGAGCTTCTGCAAAAGCTTGGAAACCGTAAAATCGTCACCAACTCGGCTCGCCGGGGTGCACTACTATTAGAGGTAATACGGTAATTTTTTAGCCTGTTAAATCAGAATTGAAAAATCTTTTTGTTTTGACCGTTTTTGAGTAACTTTGAAAAAATTGAATCTAGCAATGAAATCAAAGCCCTAGGGGCACTTCAAAAAATGTTTTAGCCTTATTTTTTTGAAAATATATTCGGGAAATATCTAGGCACTAGGAACATTTTGAAAAGTTTTGTTTTTTTTTAAGAAAACGACAAAGGTGGAAAAGTTTAAAGGATCGGCTCAAAAGGATTTCAGATAAACGGGAAAATTTGCCTCTCAAGCTCAGTTTAGTCGCAAATTCAGTAGTAAAATAATGAGCTGTAGTAAATTTGCTAAGAATTAATGGCTAAACTTTGACTCATGTAAACTCTGCGTTGGCCCAAATCGGCCAGCAGTTAATCCCCGGCGTTTAGCCTGCTTCTGGTTTGTATATTTTGATTTGTATGGTTTTTTTTAATGCTGGTTTGCATATTTTGAACCAAGGCTATTTGAGATTAAGGATCACTTTTTAGGTCTCACAAGTATTGAGACTTGGCTTCAGGATTGGCTAAAGGTTTAATTTTTTGAAATCATCCTCTTTCTCCGTAAATTTTTCGAAGCTTTTCTACTTCAGCTAAAAAAAATTTGATTAAATTAATTAAACAGTGAAAATTTCAACCATCAGAACCGGTTATTAGCAGTTGCGCATCAGAGCTTAACATGTCAGAAGCCAGATTTTTAATATCCAATCAATCTTCGGCCTATTACATCTCAAGTTCATTCCTTTGATCTTCGCACTTGAAAGATGAGGATAAAATGACTAAAGAAGTGAAGAAGCGCAGGAATTTCCCAAGGGATAGATTCTCGGCGACGTCTCGTATAGAGAATCTGGTGAAAATGAAAAAAGAAGGAAAAAAAATAAAGGAAAAAGAAAAGTAGGGGTGAACCAAACCCTCCTTATTCATGACTTTTGCCTTTTGGTGGTCCTAAGGGGGTTGCTGAGGGTGAGAGGGATCTTTCATGGTGGGGAAAGGATCTGGAGGCACTGGGGTCATCGGATGTGGTAAAAAAGGAGGCAAAAAACGGGGAACGTCACTCACTTCTTTACGAAGTGACAACCACCCGACTGAGTCGAGAGCTCTTGACATTCTGTCCCTCAAAAATGTTACTTTGTTGGGGTTGTTGGGCTTTTTTTGAGGCTAAATTGGTTTATCAGAACCGAGCGCCTGAATCACTTTTCCATGCGAACATGTTAGATTGGCTACTTTTCTGCGCCTTATCTTATTAATGGGTTATCTGGCTACCCAGTAAGCTTTTCACTGAGAAACTGAGTCTAAGAAATTCTCAATAAAATGCTAGAAGTTGCTTCAAAAGAAAAATAAAAGCAAAAGATTTGCTTCCAAGACCGAACCCTGACCCTGTTAGTGGTAGTCTAATGTACTAGGCCACCAAAGTCTGTACTCCTGTACTTATCTACTAGGCCACCGAAGTCTGTACTCCTGTACTTATCTACTAGGCCACCAAACTCCTTACTCCGAGCACGGAAAGGAGCCTTTTAAAGCATCCGTTGCCAAATTTTCGTTTGAAATTTTTCTTCTTTTCTTCAATTTTTTGTATCATCAATTGAAAAGTAAAGCTGAAATATTATCTTTTTTTTTCAGCTTTCTAAATTTCAGCTAAAACTCTATGCACTTGAGCTGAAAGGGGGTTGCAGAGGGTGAGAGGGATCTTTCATGGTGGGGAAAGGATCTGGAGACACTGGGGAAAATGTTGTACTCAAAAAAATTGCGCTTATTTAAAGTTAAAAGAAGTATTTAGGAGAGTTCATTTTTTTTTTTACTCAAAAGACTTTTTCGAGCCACTCAAACGTCTCTAATTAGTTTAAAATGCTTTTACTTGCGTCTACACTAATTCTTTACGGAATTCTTTTTCTGATGCTTAATCAAATTCATTTTAAAATCCAAAAAATTTTAGGCATTTTAGGCAATGTTCGCCCGGCCGAGTCTCGCGCAATTACTCGTGCCAAATCTGGGCACGTCACCGAGTAAATTTGTGAGTATTTTTTGAGTATTTGTTGAGAAATTGTTGCGAAAAAGTACCTCCTACAGCTTTAGACTTACAGTTGACTAATTGAAAGTTAATTTTTGAAAGTTTTTGAAAGTTTCCTAAAGATTTAGTCGCCAAGCGTTGAGCCGACCTCAATCGCCACCTCGACGAACAACGAGGAGCCGAATGATGACAGTGATGAGGTAGGGAAATGATTTCGATTTTGTCTTTAAACTTTACTATATATTTTTTTTAAATTTTCTAGAGCATGCTCGTCTCACGACTTATCCAAATCCCAAGGGAACGATTCCGAAAGCTTTTCTCGTCCAGCAAAAAGGTAGGGAATTTTTTGGGGTGGTGAAAGGTCAAAGTTTTTCGGTTTTTCAGTTTTTCAGAAAAGATTTATAATCTGTGTTAAGATTTACGAAAAATTGACTCTTTTTTTTACGTTTATCCTTTAGAGATTTACGTAAACTTTGAGAGTAAACGAGAAAACTAATTCTCAAGTTTTTGAAAGTTTCCTAAAGATTTAGTCGCCAAGCTAGAGGTACCTGCAAAGATAATTTTGATATTACCGTAAATACTGTAATAGTACGGCACTCTCATAATGACGGTGCGGAGTGTTGCGTAGTCTAGCTTTGAACGAGTTTTTCTCGACACTGGTTTATGCTACAATGCGCGCTTAGGTATCAAAAAATAGCCCCGAATTTCAGCTATTTTTTGATACCAAAGACGCATTTTTTGAAAGTACGGGCGCTTTGAAAAAAATGAAATACTCAAAAAACTTTTGCGACTACGTGACTGTACCAGGGGGGTGGGGTACTATTACAGTATTTACGGTAGGTGAGATTAGCGTATTGGACCTTGTTGGGCATAACTATTAGGTTCGCCGATAAATCTTTAGACACTTTTTTTTATAAAACTGTTTATAAATGAAAAATTGATTAATTGATTTACGGTTTGCTTCAAATAGAAGTTGTTTATTACACACTTTTCGATTTTTTTTGTCCCAATCTGGGTCGGTTCCAAAGAAATTCGACCACAAAAACTAGTTTTGCGTAGAATTCGATAAAAGGTGATATGGCTGAAGAGTTTGTTCTGAAAATTTGGCTATAAACTAAACTTTTTGCGCTCTTTCTTTTTTCTATTGACACTGAAGTCGGTTTCTTTGAATCAAAGTAACTAAATGGGCTCTTTTTGACTGGCCTCGGTCTAAACCAAACGAAATTGGCTCTTTTTGTTTGGCCGAGTTTGCACCTCTGAATAAAAAACCAAAAACAAAGCATTACTTAAGATTTCAACGATTTTTTTATAGAAAATATCAGGTTTTTCTAATGGAAGAAACTTTAAGTCAATGGGTGAATTGGTTATTTCTAAATAGTTTTTTAAATGAAGTATTCAAAGACTCGACCAATCAAATATTTGGATATCAATGCTAAACAAAATAGATAATGTGCAAATCTTCAAATGTAAGAGCACTCCTCAAGAACAAGGACCTAATCAGCGTAAAACGATTTCGAACTCATTGCCGCGGAGTCAAAGTGTGGGGAATCAAGAAGAAAAGGAGAAGGGGGAAGCGGTGTGGAGAACGAGATAACCAAATCTTTTCCTCTGTGTCCCGTCTAAAGAGTGGCACACTTGTACTTTACACGAAAACCACACTTTTATCTCTAAACAAGATTCCGTTCGAATTTCTGTTACTTTCAAAAAAAATGTTGTACACGATGAATCGTCGAAATCGGGTAGGGCTTTGAGTCGTTCATCAGTTATCCAATTCTTAGGCTAGAACACTGTATTTGGGTTTAAATAAAACAGTATAACTAGAATTGATGATACTTTATTGAGATGATCATAGAGAATCATAGAGAAATGCACAACGGGTCATAAATGTAGAGACAAAAGAAAGATAGAATGCCTAAATAGTTTACAAATTCTATCATAAGTCCAAACTATTAGACCCAGCTGTTTTTTTTCCAATTGATAGCTCAGAAATACTCATGCATGTTGAATTCGTTGAATGTTGATTGTTGGGAAATGAGTGGGGATGATGAATGAGTCATGAAAAGAAAAGCTATAAGAAAAAAACTTCAATGTAAAAGCCTTAGGATGTCCCACGTGCGCCGAATTTGCCCTTTGTGCAAGCCATGCTGGTATGAGAAATTTTGTCTTTATTTTGTTTTTGTCTGTCTTATTTGTTGAATGTTTTTGTTTGTTTGTGCTTTGATTCAATTGATTCGAGCTCTTAATCTCTACACGGATTTATGAGCACATTTCTGAGAGCAAAGCGATTGTATAATGATCTGAATTTCGTTCATTATTCAACGTTGTTCGAAAGAATTCATTTACAATAAGTCAAAACTTAAAGTGTTTTTTTTAGATGGCCGGACGAGCCCGTGATGCTGGTGTGCGAACGGTGCTGAGGCTACGTCAAAAGCCGCCACTCTGTTTCCTCATAGTCAATCGGGCATATCACGAATACGGTATTGCGAAACGGGAAATGGGAATTTAAATCACGAATTTAAATTTTCAGGGTTAAAGCATCTTGTGCTCATCATGATCTTTATGTTCTATGTGCTTTTCGGGGCGTTTGTCTTTTTGATCATCGAAAAAGATGCGCAAAATGAGATGAAAGAGGCTTGGGAAGAGGTGAGAGTCGACTTTTTTGGATTCGGGTTTAAAAAGGTCAATGCATAGTCTATACTTCCGTAGTTTATGCAGTAAACTTATAGCAAATAGCCAATTATCCTTTTTGCAGCCAACTTATAGCAAATTATCCTTTTTAAGAGATTATTTTTAGAAAATCCGTCTCAACCGTAGTCATGTCGTCGACGTAATGATGAAAGAAGTCTTCAATAACTCGGAATTTCTCATCTACATCAAGGGAAATACATCAATGAAGCTGAAGACGCATTTTGATAGGTGAAGAAAAAAAATAAACCCTTTATCATGCCCGTTTAGCGTTTTTGAGCGATATGAAGAGAAATTGGAAATCCGGTGGAGTGAGCAGAGAATGGAATGGGACTATTGGAATGCGATTCTTTTTGCTGGCACTATTTGCACGACAATCGGTCAGTTTACCGATTGCAATTAGTTTGTTTTGTTGCTGAAAATCTTTGACGAAACATATGAATTGAACAGCTCCACTATTCCAGGCTACAGTCACATTTATCCAATGACGACCCCCGGTCGAGTGATCACAATGATCTATGCCCTTGTCGGTATCCCTTTGATGCTGTTAGTTCTGCAAGATGTTGGAAAGCTGCTGACAATAGCAATGAAATTCCCGTGGTTCCAGTTCAAGAGGGTCGGGAGACGCGTTTTGAGGTTTGTTCAGAGGACAATTTGACTTACAATTAGACTGGAAGACTGATTGAAATAAATCTATCATATATAAAACAGAAGAGATGTCTGTCTGTCTGTGCGCAAACGCGACGCTCCGTAATTACGTCTGTCTGTCCGTATGTCTATTTGTACGCAAATGCGACGCTCCGTAATTACGTCTGTCTGTCCGTATGTCTATCTGTACGCAAACGCGACGCTCCGTAATTACGTCCGTCTGTCCGTATGTCTATCTGTACGCAAACGCGACGCTCCGTAATTACGTTTGCTCTATCGGTTAAAAGGCAAAGTATTCTTAACATGAGTTACGATAGTTTTAGTCATTTGAAAGAAAATTTTGTGCTAAAAAGTCGTTTTGTCCGCTCAACGAAGGCAATTCTGTTCTCTGTTTCTTTTTGCGTTCCTCTTCACCCTGTCTTTTCTTTTTCTATTGTACGGACCCTTTAAACTATGCGCGTTCCTCGGACCCGTCTCGAAGGGGCGTAAAGGACCTGAAGGGGAGCTGAATGGATTCTCCGCTGGTCAGTATATATGTTATGTCAAAATCCGATTGCATCAGAATCCTATTTTGATGCTAGGATGAATCCTGTTCTGATGTCAGATCGGATTCTGACATAACATAAACGTTCAGATGCTGCACAAAGCAGTCAATCAAAGAAATGCGAAGGATCGAGACAGAAGAGCGGAGAGATTTGGAAGTATTCGACTTGCCGCTGCCTGTCGCCGTGGCTTTGATCATGATTTGGGTAATGAAATTTTTCAAGTCTTGTTAGGCATCCTATACATTTACAGTACTTTAAGCAATGACCCCATCTGAGAGTGAAATTAGAAATGAATCTATCTAGATCTGGCTTTGCACAACAATTCTCTCGATGCTCGATGAGAAATGGACTCCATTTGAGGCTTTCTACTTTTTCTTTATTTCTTTGAGGTAAACTTGTTTTAGACAAAAGATTTCAAATATTCTTTTAGCACTGTCGGTTTGGGTGACTTGTTGCCTTCCGATCCGAAATTGTTGATTATGTTGTTTGGGTTTATTCTCGTGGGATTGTCATTAGTATCAATGGTGAGTAGAGTAATTCAAATATGAAAGTTTTTCGTTTGAGTTTGAGTCAAGCTGAAGTTGAAGCTAAAAATTCTAAGTTCTGGGAGGTGGGACAAATGCGACCTTTTTTTTGCACACCTGGACATTTGCGCACCATTTTTTTGCTGGAAAGCCTTAGGAAAGGTGGTAGAGCTTCGAAAATGTTTCCATACTGCGGAATCGTATGCGTAGATTCCGAATTTCGACAAATCAAAGCAAATCACACCTCGCTGACACGTCAAATTTGGGCTAAAAGGCAAAAACTGCGGAAAAGCGTTAAGTTGCGTAGTTTTTGCCTTTTAGCTCAAATTTAACGTGTCAGCGAGGTCTGATTTGCTTTGATTTGTCGAAATTCGGAATCTACGCATACGATTCCCCAGTATGGAAACATTTTCGAAGCTCTACGACCTTTCCTAAGGCCTTTTCCAGTAAAAAAAAGGTGCGCAAGTGTCCAGGTGTGCAAAAAAAGGTCGCATTTGTCTCACCCCCCTAAGTTGTAAATAAAGAATTTTGTGGGCAATCGTTTCTTGATCATTTTTAAGTGGTGAAAAGAAAAAAGTGAATTAAATAGTATTTTTGAAGAGTCGTGTAAGAATAGATTTATATTCGATTTTTCTATTTTTTATTCGATTAATATTTAGATTAATATTTAGATTAATATTAGATTAGATTTACATAAACTTCGTTAACTTTCCAGGTGCTGAACCTTCTTCAATCGAAGATGCGCACCACGTATGAGGCGGGTCGGGGTGTGATCGAGATTGTCGAGACGACGAAAGAGGCCACCACGCTTGGGGTTTTACAAGTCTGCATCCATTTTGATTCTCTTATGACAATCTCTCAAGTTTAAGTTTCAATTGTAAATCCTTTTTTGAGGTATTCGAGGAGAAAAAGAGCCACTACCTTGTCATTCCGGATGAGATGCAATCCTCGACGCATTCTCGTCAGACACAGACCTCGTTGAGTTTACCCGGAATGAGACAGGTTTGTCAAAAGCTATTAGAATCAATAAATTTACAAATCTAATCCAATTTTCCTTTACTAACACTCAGCTTATGCAGGAAAACCAACCCGGAGTATCTAAAGTGGTAATCACCGTGCAACTCATCATTTAGCATGTCATATTGGACTCTTGCGTAGTTATTTTGAACGGGTTGTCACGCTTTGAAGACCTATAACTTTGTCTAGAGATAATATTTTTGTTAATTTTTTATATAATTGTACAGAGGACATTTCAGGCTTTCAAATGATACCAAATAGAGCTTGATTGGATTTTTCATTCTCATGCAAACCAGGCGACATAACCCTCGAGTTGGCTAGGCCTCATTTGCTCGGAGTTGGCTCTGATTTTCTTGGATGGGATTTTTCAATAAAGCTCTATTTGGTACCATTTGAAAGCCTGAAATGTCCTCTGTACAATTATATAAAAAGTTAACAAAAGTATTACCTATAGACAAAGTTATAAGCCTCCAAAGCGTGACGACCCTTTCAAAATACCCGGTAACTACGCAAGAGCCAAACATTGAATGCATACTTTATGCATGTTCTTTTAAAATATCCAATTGCTCGAAAAATAAGAAAATCTTTTTTAGTGTGTTCTGCGTTCAGACGGGGTTCATTGGGTGGAGGACACGACACCGGTGAAAAGTCCCGATGAGGTGAGAAATGGGAAAATGATATGAATAATTCAATTGCGAAAAAAGCGATTGAATTGCTATTGCCTATCGAACTCTATATGCTGGCTTTTGAGCTTAATAACTAGGAAAAAATCGAATAGTTTTGCCACAAAAACCCCCATCTGCGATTTCAGGTGACAAAACTCGTCGAGCTGGAATCAAGTCTGCATGTGTGCAAGGACATCGGCGAGAACAATGGAGAGAACGAGGATTTCGACAACACGTACAGCTTGGGGAGCAACCAATCATTTCGGGGAAGATTTCCGAACGATGGAAACGGGTTGATCATCGAGAATCGAAAGCGACGAGAGGAGTCCCCGTCGGACGATGATGAGGGAACCGCTCATCACTCGATGCCCTCTCCATACGGACCGAATGGATTGATTCTCGAGCTGTCGAATGAAGGTGTGCATTTTGAACGAATAGGATAATGATAATAATAATAATAATACAAACAATAGAACTCTAGCTTGGGGAAAACTGTTGTTTAGTGGGCAAATCTCTTGAATCTAGAAGCAATAACAAGAATTCTCTCATAGTGATTCGAGATATGCAGTTTTAACAATAAATTTCATTGACTGTTCATGAACATTGCCAAAACAGATTCACAACTTAAAACACTTCTAGATCTTCACTCTCCACATGCAAAATGCTTGATGAGTCCGGAGAGGTCGAACAGTCGATCGATGGCAATGAAAGCGCGGCAGGAGACGATCGAAAGTCTTCAAGAAGCGACACAATGCTTTTCGCTTGAACCCGCTTTCGAGAATAAACGATTTTAGATGTGCAAATGTTGAAAATACAAATTAGATAGTTTTAAAAACAAGATATTCAGTCAAAAAAGCAGTCAAAAAGCAATGAAATGAATTGCGGGGATATCACAAAAATGAGATTAAGATCATTTTGTGTTTATCGTTCTAGCTTCTAATAGAGCTGAAAGAGCTGGGAATGTTTTAGTTTTAAAAGCATTTGCACAAAATACCACTCGCTGACCTTTTTGAAGAAAAATCTAACATTGATTACCTGTAAGCATGAGAAACGAGTCGCCTTCTTCATTTTAACAAATAACTTTGTACTAACTTCGCGCGGGGGAGACACTTTGACCCGATTTGGTCAGATTGTATTTTTTTTACTTTTTTACTGACGTTATTTTACTTTTTCTGGGGTAATCAAGCATTATGAATCTATTGATAATATTTTTAGAAAGTTTTGAACAGTTTTTATCAATATTTTGAGCTAGCTGGAGAAAAAAATCTTTTCGCCAAATGAGCTAATTTTTTTGTACCCAGGGGCTTTTGACTATGCTGAGTCGATTGATGATGATTTCACTCAACATTTCACAACTTTTAACAGCGTTGATAACAAATAGCTTATTCTGGGATGAAGTGGTCAAAAAGTACCCGTTGTTTTGAGTCATGTCCTCGTTGGTAACTTGTTGACACTTTGTTGTTGTTATTTTTGTTGCTATTTTATTATAATCGTTGTTAAAAGTTGCAAAATATTGTGTGAAACCATCATCAATCGATTCAGCATAGTCAAAAACCCCTGGATGCAAAAAATCGAAAAATTTTTGTTCCCCCAACTGCTATAGCACCTCAGTTTTTCTAATGCTATCTAGATTTGTTTTTGAAAACTTTTTCCAGTTCAATTTCAAATGTCTACTTTTTTTGTTTAGAAGATGTCGCCTACACCAAATCAATCGCCCATCTTCGAGACATTGAATTGCTACATTTGCAGCATACCATGTAAGTTTTTATCAAAAATAGCTTTTTATACGTTTTCTTTGAAATGCGCTTGCATTTTTCTCTTTAGTTTCTGAAATTCGAACAAAGGGACTGCATTCACCGTTGCAGATGCAATGTGGAGTGGCAATCTGCATGAATTGCTCAGACGAAAAGCGCATTCATCATTGCGCCATTGGCTTAGATTGCAAAGGTGTTTTTGAGGGAAGCCGATTCTATTTGCGTGAGTGTTTTGAAGTTTCAAACATCTAATTGCATTTATTTAGATTTGTTCTACAACGGCTTTTTAACTAAAACGGCTTCCGGATACACTATGGCCAAGGTACTTTGCTTGCTTCAAATTTCATTATTGAATTTCAGATGTTCTCTGCACCGGAATGCTGCAATTGTTCAAAGAAATGTAAGCTTTTGTAGAATCACTATTTATTACGTTTATGCGTTTAGTTCAACTAAATAACATGAAGCGAAACCCGATCATTCTCAGATGTGGGCATTTGCTTTGCGTTGGTTGCTTGCGAAATTCCCGATATGCAACGGAGAGTGACGAAGTCGTGTGCCCGACGTGCAAGAAACACTCAATCATGGCCAACGAAATTCAGTTTAATCAGCTTAAATGTAAGGCTTTTTAGTTTGTAAGGCTATGGGTTTGAAGCCAAGTAAATAGAAAAAATGTTTCTTTACTTAACCGTGCCTTATTATGCTTATTGTAGCAACACGTTTAGATTTTCTTGACGAACTACGCGACATCCAAAAACATTTCCGACGCACTCATCGCTGGAGTTTTTTTAAATCTTGGCATAAAAGCGTGGGTAGTTTTCTTTGAGGAATCGTAATACTCTTAAAATTTAAAATATAAAGACAATAATTAAAGGTTGCGTTTAGAAAATCCCGCTTGATGAGAGCAAAGGCAAGAATGTGGACGAGCACGACTACGGGAAAATTCCCGCGTATCCCTGTCAACCGAAGTCTCTGGAGCGGAAACAGAGAGAAGAATTTGCTTTGGAGAAATCGTAAGGAGTTACTTTGGAAATAAGTGTTCAATTCTAATTTTAGGTCACTTGAAGCTCATTTTGAAAAGATTTACGTATGACTTTACGCTTCACATTTGTTGTCTTGATGCATTTTGCCGTTTATAACATTTAGTTTTCATATCTATATATCTTTTCAGATTTTGTTTTCCTCCGAAGTTTTCAAATTTTATTTTCTCACTGCTTTGTTGATCAATCTTGCTCACATTTGACAACTATTGCCAATTCGGAATAAATGTTTAAAAGAAATAGGGAGCAATTTCAGTTTACGGATTAAATACAACAAGATGGGATAACATAATCCTCTCCTTTGAGCGGAAAACTTTCATACTTCATAAACCAATACTTGTTGCCACATATTTGTGGACAGCCAGTTGGTATCATTTTTCTTAACCAGCGCCTTCATATGATTTCGAGCAAAGTTATCGAAGAACATATTTATTGAAACACTCAGAAATTGATATTAAAGAATAGAACAGTTTTTACTTTATCCACATTATGCATAAAAGATCAAATACAACTTTCGGCTTGCCTGCGATCAATCAAGTGCAATCGGTAATCTTTTACAAAAGGATAATTTTTGAAAAAATCGTAATTTTAAAAAAGCTTAGAGGAAATATTGCAAAAACCCGGATTCAAAAACAATGACAATAAGGCACCATAAAATCGAGCAAGAGGGTAAATTAAGCATCCTGATAGCTGACTTCGCTGCTGGCATCTTCCGTGTCGAAATTATGAAGTTTTTCCATCAACGTATTGCAAATCGATTGGAGTTCTCGGTTCTCGTTAGCCTGAACAGTAAATTTTGTCAGTATAAACCAAAAAAATGCAACCAGAGTAATTCTAAAAACTCACCTTGGCTTCCAGTTGTTGCTCGAGTGAAGCCACCGCAGTTTGCTTTGTTGCAAGTGCCAAACGATCCGTTGAAGCCCGTTCTTCTACTTTTCGCACGTGATCGTTAGCCCTAAAGTAGAATTGCGAATTAAAAAGACAATTTAGACTCATACGCAGCAATCTTTTCTTTGCTGTGCTCGAGTAGTCGATTGTAGCGCTCGGCCATTGCTTTGATGTCACCCTTGTAGATTTCTTCCGTTTTGATTGCCTCATCGTAGCCTTCTTTCAAGTTCTTGTTCATGGCCTTCAGCTGGTCAACGTATTCAAACGACTTCTGGTACATGGTATAGATTTGTTGATGTCTAAATATTTTTAAGGTTTCCCATTTCGTGTAAATGCTTACTCGTTTTGCAGTTGCATGTGACTTTTCTCCAATTGGTCGTATTTCGCGCTGTCAACGCCTAAAAAGTGCAAAATTTGTTAACCAATGAGCCAAACACCAACCTCCCGTATTTCCTGTCTTTTGTCCATGAGTTGATAAGACACTTATGGTGCCCTCGTGCATCAGCTTCCAAGTGTCTCGGTTTGCTTCGGAATTTGAGAGTTGAGTTTGCAGGAGGTCCAATTTGGTGGCCAGAGCAGTTGTCATCATCTTTTCATGGTTCGCAATTACAGCCAAAGTTGCGCGTTCAGCATCCTCGTAGTCGCCATTCTAAAACTTCGGTATAGTAAATCCCAGAAGAAAAATAAACTTTTCGGGCTTTTTCAAAAATCTCTTTGACGGCGTTGACTGATGGCGATGTTTTGGTGCTCGAGACGACCATTGTCTTTTGTCTTTCTGGGCGTTTCCTGAAATAAAAAAAATAAGTTGCAACTATTTAGACGTCGATCCTAGTCAAACATAAATCAAAACCTACGTAATGAACGCCGTATTGTCACTATTCTCTTCCAATTTCAACAATGGTGGCGGTGGCTTTTGTTCGACTACTGGCATTTTCACTTTTTGCATGAGCTGAGTATCTGACGTTTCTGGGGTATCATCTACCACCGGAATGTTTGCGTTGAAAGCCTTATCTTTAGCATGGCCAGCATTGAAAGTTCGATTCCGAGCTGAAGCCCATAGCTAAAGTTCCCAAAAATTAATTATTAATATCCATTTGTCGACTGTCAACAAGTATTTTGAACTAATCAAGATTAATGGTGCTGCTACACTTTGGCGGGGCCACTCAAAATTTGCATAAGAAATTTTCCTGTTTTTTAGTTCAATTTGTCTCGCCCAGCGACTAAATTCAACAAATTAAAAGAAAGTAACACACTTAACTTCCACATCATTTCGATAATATGCTTTCACTTATTGATTGTTTATATATATTTTTTTTTTTTTTTTTTTTTTTTTTTTTTTTTTTTTTTTTTTTTTTTTTTTTTTTTTTTTTTTTTTTTTTTTTTATTTTATTTTTTAATATTTATTATTAATTTTTATTTTTTTTTTTTTTTTTTTTTTTTTTTTTTTTTTTTTTTTTTTTTTTTTTTTTAAAATTTTTTTTTTTTTTTTTTTTTTTTTTTTTTTTTTTTTTTTTTTTTTTTTTTTTATTTTTTATAAAAAAAAAAAAATAAAAAATAAAAAAAAAATAAAAAAAAAAAAAAAAAAAATATTTTAAATTTTTTTTTTTTTTTTTTTTTTTTTTTTTATTTTTTTTTTTTTATTAAAAATTTAAATAAAAAATAATATATTATATTTAATACATCCCCAAAAAATAATATAAAAAAAAAAAAAAAAATATATATATATATGCAAATTTGAGTGCCCCCGCTAAAGTGTAGTAGCACCGATTCAATAATTTCATTAACTAGTGTTAGCCGCAAATCTGCTATAGTTATGCCTGATCTAAATGAACATTTTAGGAGAAATGTGTCGGTGTAAAGTTTTCGAAGCAAAACGCAAACCTCTTCTTTTGGTGAATCAGCAAGGTAAGTTTTGTCTCGAGCTGACATCCAACCATGTTCCTAAAACTAATCATAATGCTCGTTCACCCTTTTAATTTATCAGTCATTTGTGCTAACAAAATTGTAATAATTTGAGTCAAAAACCACCAACCGCTGATTCAGGTGGAGTAGAAGTATTCATTTGATCACCATCCGTAGTTGGGCTCGGTTTTCCATTGACAATCTCAAATTCGTCGCCTTCACCCTCATCAGCCGATTTGTAGTCTTCGCGGCTCATATTGGCTAGTTCGTTTGTTTCCATTGGTTCTTCACCATCTAAATAACCAATTTGGTCTAATACACCGTTTTAACAAACTCACCATTAGTTCCAGCATAACCATAAATTGGATGAGGAAATCGATCGTTTAACTCATCCTTTACATCCATTCTCCTGAAGAAAAAGCCTTATATAAAGTAGCAGTAAAATAAATCAAGACTTTGTCGTCCTCTATCAAGCGCAAAAGAGTTTGAAAAACCGCACCTCGGTGATCCACCATTTAGGAAACATCCTTGGTTCGGGAAATTTTCAATCGTAGACAAAACTCTGTTGAACATTGGAGCTGTAACAAAAACTTTTAAGAAATGTTGAGAAATTTATAACACAAAGCGCATCAAATGATTCAAAAGGGCCCTAATCGGGCGGGGACGCCGTGAATATCGATCGATAGTTAATTCGAACAAGAGAGCCTTTACGCGCCAATTACTACCCAGGAAAGAAAGGAACAAAGATTGAAAAATAATGATCAACCAGTTCTATAGATTTCTCTGCACCCCGAAAACTCAAACTTTGACCACAAAAAGTAATTTGAAACTAGTCTAGGTCGAAAAAACGATTTTTAAGATCCCATCCTGCACAGTATCACTCCACAATACTTGCTATAATTTTGTTGCCTTTATTTCTTGAATACTATGCCTGTCTCATCGCTCACCCTTATAAAGTTAATAAAGGCATTTATCCCAAAACGCTTTAAAAGAAATACTAGAAATAAAACAATTTATTATAACAATCAAGGAATCTTTATTGCATCGTCTAGTCGAAGAGGCCGAATCCCATATCTAAAGTAAAATTGAAATAGTTTTTAACTGTCTATCATTCCTACCATCGTCAGATTCCTCCTTGGGCTCTTCCTTCTTCTTTGTCTCGGCTGGTGCGGCAGCAGCGGCGGCTGGGGCTCCGGAAGCAGCAGCAGCCGCGGGAGCTTGTCCAGATCCTGCGCCGGAAGAGACAGACGTGATCAAGTTCTAAAAAGAAAAATTAGTGATTTGATAAAAAAGTAGCTCAATTTTTACAACGCTCTTTTGTTTCCGTGTGACTAAAAATGAACAATGGCTAACTAGTAAAACGACAAAAGCACACCTTGACGTCGACTCCTTCAAGTGCCTTTGCAAAAAGTCCGGGCCAATAGGGTTCAACCTCGACCTTCGCGGCCTTGAGAAGAGTGGCGATTTTGTCTCCGGTGATGGCAACGTCGTCGTCTTGAAGGATGAGCGCCGCATAGACACAAGCTACAAATAAATAGATTGCAAGTGTTATGAGGTTTTAATAAAATGCTAAACTTTAAAGCTTTTGGATCCAATTGTACAAATCTAAGGATTCTAGCTCCGCTGTCAAGCAATCACAAAGGTTCGCCACAAAAATTTAGCTAGAAATGCTTTACTGCTACAAGTAGTATCATTCGTCAATTACCCCTAGACCCAGTAAACCAACAAATAAAGTATCAAACACGACTAGAACAAATTTTCAGTTCAGAGTAAAAGTTCCAAGAGTCAATACATAATCTTAAATTCTTACCCAATTCCTCATTCGAAGCCATTTCGTCCCTTATGTGAAGTTGCCGCGAAGCCTTAGCTCAAATGAGAACCAAACACTCGGAACACCTGAAAAAAATATAATCTCGTAACATTAAAGTGAATTCGAAAGCAGAAAAATGAAAGTATACTAAAAACCGAGCGTGAGTGAGTTTTGCTTCACAAATTCAATAGAAACTAAATTTCGAATCAACGATTAAAGTTTAAAGACATTAAAGACATTAGAAAAAGTTACGTTGATCAATAAAAGTCGATTGCCACAAAATCCAAACCCACTACTCTTGTGAATTGACAAACGCTGAAACAGAAAATTCTGATTTGACAATGAAATTCGACGAAAAACGTTTTCTTACTAATGGCGCATTCAACGGCCGAAAAATGTCCAACTCTGGAGCGCGTTTTAGCATCGCTGTTTTGTGTCGGTGTTTTTCGATGACAATATAAAATCCCCCGAGCAAGTAAAGAGTCACAAGCAATACGAAAAGACCTGCAAACTCACATTTTACACACGTCGAGCAACGATTTAATACATCAATCAATAAAGCAAGAATGAAAAATGATGGAAATCACATAAGCCTCATTTGAACCGTCGCTCATTTTTCTTGATTCTTCTCCTTTTTAGCGAGGCGATTCCCTAGAGAAAAGAGTTGAGATCCCATGCACAAGTCTAGTCTAGTCATAAGCTCTAAAGTTTTACCTTCAAAATGTCGTCATACGGATCTTCAGCCGGTGGCATTAGGGGTACATCGAGTGGGGCTGCCGGCAACTCGTTTAATTTCCTAAAATAAATGATTAATATACTTTACTAAACAAAATCAAAACCAATTCACCAAATTTGTGCCACATTCAGGTCGACTTCAACTTCAAAAATGTTTCCGTATAAGGGAATCGTATGCGTAGATTCCGAATTTCGACAAATCAGACCTCGCTGCACGTCAAATTTGGGCTAAAAGGCAAAAACTGCGGAAAAGCGTTAAGTTGCGTAGTTTTTGCCTTTTAGCTCAGATTTAACGTGTCAGCGAGGTCTGATTTGCTTTGATTTGTCGAAATTCGGAATCTACGCATTCGATTCCCCAGTATGGAAACATTTTCGAAGCTCTACGACCTTTCCTAAGGCCTTTTCCAGCAAAAAAAAAAGGTGCACAAATGTCCCACCCCCAACTTGGAATTTTTTAGCTTCAACTTCAGTTTGACTCAAACTCAAACGAAAAACTGTCATATTTTAATTACTCTACTCACCATTGATACTAATGACAATCCCACGAGAATAAACCCAAAATTCGGAATTCGGAAAAAAAAAGTGTCGAAATTCGGAATCTATGCATACGATTCCCTAATATGAAAACATTTATGAAGCTCTACGGCCTTTCCTAAGGCCTTTTCCAGCGAAAAAAAAGGTGCGCAAATGTCCAGGTGCGCAAAAAAGGTAGCATTTGTCCCCACTAATAATGATATCTAGCGCTACAAACTTTCAAACAACCCACATTTTCCTCTTTTTTTTCTTTTTGCATCCGCAGCCAATCGTCGAAAGTGCCAATAACTAAAAGTTAAATGAATTATTGAATTTAAAAAGGTACAAACTAGAGAATCTTCTGCTGCTGAGTTGTGTATCACAAACCAAATTCCATCGATGCCCAGCCACACATCAGAGAGCGGTTATTTCAGAGCTCTGTCCGGCAACTTAGACTAAATATCTCTAGTGCTAATAAAGTTAAGGGGACACCTAAATTTTTGATTTTTCCACATTTTCTTGGGTAATAAAACGTATCGATGCTTTAGATCTAGTGGCCCTTTGCCGTAAGTAATTGGCTTATTGATTTCAGTATGTATTGTATGATTAAGTATCACTGTGCATTTCTCTATGATTTCTTTCACTTTATCGTTTGAATAAAGTATTATTATTATTAATCGATGACGCTGATCACAAATTTGATGTTTAAAACACGTTATCAATTCACTTTTCGAGTTACTGGAAATTTTAATTTCCAACAAATTTCATGTTTTAAAATGCAATCAAAGCTAAACACGGAATCAATGCACGCTCTAATAGATTAAAAAAAAAACATTTAAAAAGTTCCAGTTAAAGTTAAGTCAGGCTTTCATTTTCGATTTTTCTGTAGCACTTTCTAAATTTTGCCTCCTTGTACTTTTCCTAAGGTGTTCCGGAATTGAATCAGTTTCTCCACAGGAAAAAAAAATGAAGTTCGAAATTCTTAAAAACGACCCCCATTCGATTTGGGTTCGATTTGGGCTTGAATTGATAATGTTGTTTTGAAGAAGAACTCATTCGGCGAATTTCACTTCCACAAATTTGATCAAATACCGGTCGATGACAAAGGGAGAGATCAGCACAGACAGAGTCGAGAAAAACACGCGCTCACGTCACGAATTTGATCATTCATCCTTTGGTGGAGTGATTCACTTGAGAATGTTTTGCGTTTAGATTGCATAGTGATTTGATTGTTCTAAACCAAGCCAGGCCTTCAGCTTCATCTTTTTAAAAGACCTTTAGAGTTTGTTTTGGTGTAGACATTCATGTATTAAGTTGGCACAGAAATTCTCAGAATTTTTCGCGAGTTGATTTCTTTAAAACTAACCATCAATGGCTCCCAATATTTTTAGTAAACTCTAATAGATTTCACAATTCTTCTAATAAAGAATGGAACGGACTAAAGTTTGAGCCAAATTTTCAATCTTTTCTGGAAACTTCCAGCTTAAATTCATCTCAAATTTTCCACCATAAAAATGAAAGTTTATGAAAAAAAAACTAAATCTGATGAGAAACACATTATTATTGTTATTTTTTAGTCAATAAAATTTGACAAATAAAGCTTATTCGAAAGTCGAATACTTTTGGATAGTTTGTCTTGACCCTTTACAAGAGTTTACAAAAATAGACTTATCTAAAAAAATTAAAGCGCTATGCAAAATTTGGCTTCATTGTAAAGTTTCTCTATTTTAAATACTGAATATTCGTTTTTGAATGGGATCTATTATCTTGCAATTAAGCGATTAAAAAGTGAGTCAAAGATCGGATACTCAAAAATGACTAAAACACTTGATGAAATCTCCGACATTCCACAGAAGTTTACTCTGACTTTTATTCTCAATAACTTCTTGAAACATATAAGTGTTAAATTTGAAAAAAATTGTCAAAAGTTGATGTTCTCTTTTTTGGGAAATCGTCTAATGGGTACAGGGAAGACTCCAGCTAAAGGATAAATATATAATAAGCATACTAGTTCCGTGCTAAACCTAGATCTAATTTGATTAATATTGGCTTGACCTAAACAATCGGCTTCTGGTTGAGCCAGAAGCCAGAAATCGGCTCAGACTCTGACTCTGACTTGGAAAAGTGAACCCAGAGCTAAGATCTGTATTGTTTAAAGTATTTACATTAACTTTCTCTTGTAGATTCCAAACCTTTAATCTTTCTGAATAGAGTTGGCACAATTCCGAGAGCTTATGTGTTAACGTAATATTCCAGTACACAATAGCTATGCATTTTGTTTCGGTTTTCGAATAGCCAAAGCAAAAGTTTTTGAATCATTTGAAAACGAAAATTTAGTATACTGTATCAGAGTTAGCAAACCTTTGAAAAAAATGAGTTTGTTCACTTGATAAAGTGATACAAAAAGTTCACCCGATTCCCCGATCTAATTTCCGAAACTATCTGGTGATCGACCAAAAGAAGGCAAAAAAAATGTTTATTGTACATTGGGTGGAGTTGTTTTTCTTGCGAAAATAGAAAGAACAAGTTGAGGGGTGAAACAAATAAACAAAAAAGACAAGGGAAAAGATGGTAGAAGAAAAGATTTGGATGACTTTTTATTCGCCCAATTCTCCACCCATTCACCCACATTTGACGGATCTTGTGATTGAGAAAAAGAGACGACACAAAGAATGAATCGAAAATCAGAACTTTTTTGAGAAGAAGATTTGGAAAATATTCGCGAGTTTCGCCGATCCTCAGTGACGATTAAATTTGTGTTGGTCGAATGGATCAAATTTCCTATGAAGGATCTCCTATATAAGGTCAGTTTTCAAGTCAATCAACAGTTTTCCAAGAACTCTTCTAAACAAACAAATCTCCAAGAAATGAACTTCCTTATTCTCTGCCTTTTGATGGCCGTGCTCGCCCTCACTTCCAATGCCTGTAAGTTCTGAATGGAAATTTCAATTCAAAGTTAGAGTCGAATCCAAGAGTTACAAATTCACAGTAATGCTTTAGGATTTTAGCAGAACGAATACCGTCGTTTACTTAAAAGTACTGTATGTTACAGTATGCTATAGTATGACAAGACTGGTCATGAACATCTTTACTCTTCTCAGAGTTTTAAAACTGAAGATATTCAATACTAAAATTCAATTCAATAATTTTGACAAGTGTTCAATAATACTGAAACCGTACAATACCTGAGGCGACGTACGGTATGCTCTATTGTAAACAACTTTTCATTTACCATTAAATTTCAGGGCCCTGGGGAATGGGTGGAATGGGCGGCTGGGGAGGTTACCGTCCATGGGGAATGGGCTACGGCATGGGCGGTTACGGAATGGGCTACGGTATGGGATATGGCATGGGCTATCCATACTACGGTGGATATTGGGGAAAATAGACGACTCGCCCATGATACTCTTTCACAAATCGTTGTGCTTCAACTTTGCTTTTCACATCTCATTTACTGTACAGGGAATAAAATTGAAAACTAACACTCTGAACACTCAACTCTGAACAAGCAACAGAACCTTGATTTGCTCGTTGTTTGAGAACTACCATAGTTTCATTGTTGTTGGAAAGTTATCGTAATCACGGTAGCAAGTAAACAAGTAATTTAAGCTCAATATGAAGACAAGACTGCGGTAGTTCTTGCCTAAACGCACTTTCTACCTTCGTCGTTATCTAATTACACAATGATCATCTTTTCTCAAACGGTTTTACAACAAAACAAAACAATTATTTACATTTATTGGCACAAACAAATCGATAAAATGTTGAAATGCAGAGCAAAAGAGATCATATAACCAGATTTTTGAAATTTCTCTTGATCTTCGTTGAATGTTCACACTGATTTATATGCCGTATTCGCTGAGAGTGCGTCCGCAACGAGAACAAATGGTTCTTGAGATCACACATTGAGGCATGATGAGTGGAATCCACGAGATGCACCAGCATATGGAGAAACTAAACAAAAAAAACAGACTTAGTTAGATGAGAATTTCAAACCATCTACAGCTGTTGCACTATTTTTTGGATATAAAAAAAACACTTATTTACATTTATTGGCACAAACACGTCGATAAAACGTTGAAATGCAGAGCAAAAGAGATCATATAACCTTTTGGATATAAAAAATAGTTTAAAACCCAAGTTACTCTAGAAAGAGTGCTTTCACAAGCAAATTTATCCTAGTAAAATGATTTTCGTATAGAAAGCCAATTATCAATAGGAAGGGATCAAAGTTTACGAACCACAAGAAAAAACTCACGGGAAAAAGATGAACCCCAAGATGAAGAGGATGATGAAGAGGACCCAGGCCAGCATACCAGAAGCATTGTAGGTTCGTGCCGGACCAACCTAAAGAGATTTACAATCATTAGAGCCAAGAGGGAGCTATTTAAGCAAGTAAAACCATTGTTTAAAGACAATCATCATAAAAAACAATATGTTTGTTTAAAAATTTGCAAGAACAAAGATAAAGAAAACTCACATGTCCACAAGCAAAGCACTGCATGGGCATTCGACCTGTGACAATCATCTTGTTACTGAAAAATAAGCAAAAGTTACTCTATCATCAAGTAAATTCTACGACTAGTAAATTTCTAAAAGTTAGAAGTGCAAAAAGTAAAGTAAATATTTGTAAACAAAATGATTTCAAAATTAAAAACCTAACCTTTTTCGAAGACGCTGTGATGTGAAATGATTCTCACCAGTGTTTCGGTTCGATTTATTTGATCTTTAAATGCAAATTTTGAAACTTTCTCCCAAGTATGCAAATGAAAGAAGATCTGTAATTTGGATTTATGCAAAATATTGTGATCGGGAGGGCCTACTTTCCGCAAAGGGGCATTTCCGTAACTAGCTTTCGCTTCGTTGTTGACCGATTTCGACGACTTTACTACCGTTTTACTGCACTCATTGAGAGCTACAAAATGGTTTCAAAATTATTGCAATAGATGACACGCTTTTCCATTCATTTTTCACTGTAACGACTAAAAATCAGTCATAAATTTGATTATTTTAGTAGTTTTATGTTATTTTATTTTGCAATAAGGCAAGAAACCTAAAAATAAACTAATTAATGCGCTTGAGAAAAAATTTTCCAGGAGTATTTCAACCATTGCTTGGATTTCCTGTTCACAAAACATAGTTCTGCTTAAAAGTCTTAGAATGGGATTTAGTAAGAACCAGTAACACGAGTCAGGGATCTCTAAGACAAAGAAAAATGTCTGTTTTTCTTGAAAGCTTTGTGAATTTTACCAAAAAGACCTTTAATTATGGCAAAAACGTTCCTATTATCTTTTCATTGGGCTTATTTGACAAGAGCTTCACTCCTAGTCCTTCCTGCAAACTTTGTGAATCATTTCTAATCTTATCGGCTTGCTCTTTCCCTATTCTTTAAATTTTGAAATTTTCAAAATTCAATCAGCTAACATTTTTTCAACCTAAAACAACAATGAAAAGACTTTCACTAAGCCTCACTTCTTTGCCAGGGCTTCTTCAAGAGTCCGTCCTTCACCATGTCGAAGATGTGGCAACCTTTCCAGCCCTACTTCAAGTCAACAAGTCATTCAGAAATCACTTCCTAGCATTCGGTCCGATCCCTCGCCGAATCGATTCAATCTCTCTCTCTAATCCAATTGACAGCGAGGAAGAAGAATCGCTGTATCAGATCTCTCTATCAATTCAAACGGGCAGCAATATGATCGGTTACAAGATTGGTCGTCAAAAGGCATTCATCACTGCATACACTGGTCGTCCTTCCGAACAAGCCAGACCAGTCTGTCCTCAAATTTCTTCCATAGTCTCCAACCCATGGCTTTCTTATCTGAAAAGAATCAATTCCTGTCGGGCATTGCACTTCCTACTCGCCCCAATCGGGAAACCAATTCATGAAGAGTTTCTATTACCGTTCACTCAATTTCTTGCTCAATTCAAATATGTTAGCAAACTCTACATTTCTGGTCTTGTTCCAACTGCACAGCTGATGTTCGCTGATTTCAATACAATCATCACAGAAAGTCTCGGCTCATATTTAACCCCGTCACCACTTGATCTCAGTCTTTCTCCATCACAAATGAACAGCATTTGGTCCTCCGAGTTTGATACTTCGGAAATACGAGCTTTTTTATCAGAACAATTTCAATTTGAGCAAATCAAAGACTTGAAAGTCTTTAGGTCAGCTTGTCAGCCATTATCTTTGGTTTGGAAGAGACTTTCCGAAACAAATGTTCAAGTAATTCAACACAGATCCAATGATGCCCCAAATTTTAAAAGCGTTGTTGATCGCAAACCAAAAAATTTCCCAATTTTTTTTTAAAAAAAAAAAAAAAAAAAAAATTTAAAAAAAAAAAAAAAAAAATATATATTTAATTTTTTTTCTCCTAAAAAAAAAAAAAAAATTTTTATTAAAAAAAAAAAAAAATTTTAACAAAATAATATATTTTTTTACATAACAAAAATTTTCCCTCTTTTATAATTCCACAATAAAAAAATATATAAAAAATTTAAAAAAAAAAAAAAAAAAACAAAATAAAAAAAACCACACACACAAAATATATAAACAAAATTAAAAAATAAAAAAAAAAAAAAAAAAAAAAAAAAAAAAAAAAAAAAAAAAAAAAAAAAAAAAAAAAAAAAAAAAACAAAAAAAAAAAAAAAAAAAAAAAAAAAAAAAAAAAAAAAAAAAAATAAAAAAAAAAAAAATAAAAAATAAACCAAAAAATACCAAAAAAAAAAAAAAAAAAAAAAAAAAAAAAAAAAAAAAAAAAAAAAAAAAAAAAAAAAAAAAAAAAATATTATAAAAAAAAAAAAAAAAAAAAAAAAAAAAAAAAAAAAAAAAATATTTGAAAAATAATTATTTTTTTTTTTTTTAAAAAAATTTTTTTTCATTATTCTGTTTTAAAATTTTTGGCTTATTTTTTTTTTTTTCAATAAATTTTTTTTTTTGTTTTTTTTTTTAATAAACTTTTTTTCTCGGTTCCTTTTTTTTTTTTTTAAATTTTTAAAATAAAAAAAACAAACTAAAATAAAAATATTTTTATAAAAAAACATTCCCCCTAACCCCCTATTTTAACCAAAAAAAATCACCCCCAAAAAAAAAAAACCCCACCCTCCTTTTTTAATATTTATATCTCCTCATTTTAAAAAATTTTCACTTTAAAAAAATTAAAATTATTAAATTTTTTTAAAATTATCTTTTTTTTTTTTTTTAAAAATATCCATTTTTTTTTTTATATTTTTTTTATCTTTTTTTTTTAAAAATTTTTTAATAAAATAAAAATAAAAAAAAATTTTTAAATTAATTATATTTATAATATATATAATAAATTTTTTTTTTATTCTTAATTCTAATATTTTTAAATCTCAAAAAAACTTTTTTAAATATTTTTTTTTTTTAAAAAATAATTAATTTTTTTTTAAAATAATTTAAAAAATTTTTTTTTTAAAAATATTTTTTTAAAATTATAATTATTTAATTTTTTTTTTTTTAATTTTTTAATAAAAAAAAAAAAAAAAAAAAAATTTATTTTTTTTTTTTATTTTAATTTTTTTTTTTTTAATTTAAAAAAATTTTTTATAATCAAAAAAAAACAGATTTTTTTAAATTTAAAATATTAAAAAAAATAATATTTCTTTTTTTTTTTTTTCCTTTTTTTTTTATTTTATATTCTTTTTTTTTTTTTTTCACTATAAACTCTTCGGAAGCCCCTTTTTTCTTCTAAAAACTCTTAAAAAAAAAAAAAAAAAAACTTTTTTTTTTTTTTTTTTTTTTATTTTATTTAATTATTTTTATTTAATTTCATTTTTTTTTTTTTTTTTTTTAAATTTTTTTTTTCATTATTCCCCTTTTTTTAATTTTTTTATCTTTTTTTTTTTTATTATTTTTTTTTATTTAATAATTTTAAAATAAATTTTTTTTATTTTTTTTTTTTTTTTATATTTTTTTTTTTTTTTTTGTTATATTTTAATCTTTTAATTTTTATAAAAAATATTTTTTTGAAAAAATTTTTTTAAAAATTTTATATATTAATTTTTTTTTTAAAATTTTTTTTTTTTTTTTTTTTTTATAAAAAAAAAAAAAATTTTTTATTTTTTTTTTTTAAATTTTTTTGTTTTTTAAAAATAAATTTTTTTAAAAAAAATTTTTTTTAATTTATATCAAAATATTTATCAAAATTCTCAACAACAACAAGGCCAAACTCCGTCACTCCCATGGCAAAACCGCCGACAACGACCGATTCTATCTCTTTCTACCTTCCCTCTCCAGTCAGGGTCCGCCCAACAACGCGCTCCTCAGTCATAACATAGACAATATAAGCATAATTACTGTTGTTAGAGTGTTTCACTCAAATCCTAGACTCTTTTAATTTCATGCTAACTCTTGATCTGCCGATGTTTTTTTAAACCTTAAGTCCATTTACTTAGATTTACTAAGTTTCTTATTTCCTCCATGGAAACACCACCATTTCATTTTACATATCTTCTGCCACGTGCATTTATTCATTAACTTTTGATTCTTGCCATTTTATGAAACACAATCAAGTGATAATAAGAAAAAATATTGTATGTTCTTCGAAAGTTCTTTTAATTACAATAGCACCATGTGGTAGTGGAAGTCACATTAACACAAAGACCGCCCAATTGGTATCCATGTTGCTCGCAACACGCGGAACATCCATTCGTCTGCAAGTTATAAAGTTCATTTGTTTCTCAAAAATTCGAAATTTTGATAAGCTAAACGCGTTTCTTGTCTAGACATCATCAACCTGTATGGCTAATCCTTAAATCTAGATCAGAATCCGATCAGAAACTATAGTCCTAAAGCCGATCCTATAAGCCTGGTCGGATTCTGATGCAACATATATACATATAGATAGATCGACGTAAGTTGGCTAACAGGACTAGCAAAGTGGCATCTTTTTAAAGGTTCAAATGTTATTTGCAAATCTTATTTTCACTGTTAGAAGCTAAGTGAAAGATTGAAGTTTTTGGTTTGAAAAGTTGCACCGTGAGGTTTTTTCAAGCTTGACTCACCGGACACGTTGGATCACACAACGCGACGTGCACGATAGCCTTCAACGGTGGGACCACAGAAGCAGTCACAAAGAGAATAGTGGCTATAAATTATTTTTTATTCAATCTGAAGATCGTATGGTAGAGCTTTGGAATAACTCTAGATACTGTAAAGTACAGAGTTTCTCTTCCCATCACATGACAGCTTGATCAAGTCTAGCTTAACTCTAGAAAGTTTTGGTTGCCTTTAACCGGTTAACAGCATCCTTTTCTGAAAGGAGCAAAAAAGAGCAGTCATTTGTGAGGTTCGAGCATTCGAGTTACTTGATGATCGTTATTATGATTGAGCCACTTTTAACCTATAGTTTAGCTCTCACGTTAAGTTTAAATACAATTTTCTACAACGAATTCAAAAAGACAACGTACTACCTATTTGAAAATACAGTAACTCACCGAAAGCAAGGAAGGTCAAGAAGAAAGTACGCATTGTTCACAGAGAGAAGAGTAGTTTCTGGCTTGCTCCAACGATCATTTGGTTCCGATATTTATACCCAATGCCCAACCCATTCGAATAACTTTTCAAATATGCCACGTCTTAGGCGCCATACGGAAAAAAAGTAGATATCAAATAAGATTACCTAAATATTCAGTCACAAGATTTCCGGGAAAATGAGGAATTTCGAGTGACAGCTTTTTGTGTTTCCCTTGTGACTTGGTAAGAAAATTGGATTACGGTAAGAAAATAGGGTCCGCCAACTCTGTATGATGTCACTAATAAACGATAAGAAGTCTTCGGGAATGCCTTTGCAATCAGAGAATTAAAAAGAATTAGACTAAAGTTTGCTAAGATAAAGTTTGGTAAAAAAGAATTCAAGTACACCTAGAGATCCTCTTTTTTTACTTAAAAACCTTTTATCCTCTAATCAACATCAAAATGAAAATGCTCTAGACTGTGAACTTTTCAAACTATCAAATAATGTTTTCAGCTTTTTTGTATCTTTTTGTAGGGATTAATTCTTTTGCTATAGTGAAACTTTGACAAATACTGTTTGCAATAAATAAATAAAATGCTATGACGAAGTTGAACAATGTGAACAATAATTAAAAGCTTTTTTGGGTGTACTTTGCTGTTCGAACGTCCTTTGAGATTTCACACACTTCTGCATTAATTCGCCTAACAATTCTTATCAGTCAGTGAGCTGTTTCAAGAGTGATGGAGGAATCCGTTTCCGTTTTTTGAGGACAGGGAATCGAAAAAGTGATGGGGCTATTTTGTGAGGAAAACGGAAAAGCTGTCTTCAATGCTAACATCAACCAAGAGATAGAGTGACAAAGTTTCAGATGAAATAAATTGGCTCTTCTTCGCTTTTCTTGTGCTTGTTAATTTACGAATGTTTAAGGGAAAACAACATTATTTATACAGATTTATACAGGTTTAGAAAAGTTCTGTTCGCATTAATAAACGTGTCTTTATAATAAAATTGTGAAGATAAAGCAAAACGAACCTCAAATTTAGAAAATTCCACGTTCATATACAAAAAAATGAAAAAAAATCGCCTTGATCTTGTCGTGTGGCCCCTGAAGCAAAACGATTTTTGACACCACGATGAGCCAAAAATCAAAGAGAAAATTATTCGAGACTCAAACCGATGACCACTTTTTTTCCAGGGACCCTGTATAATAAAATGTCCCAGCGTTATCCTCATTTCAAACCATTAAGTTTTCAGTAAGCTGATTGAAGATTGTAGTTCATGTTATAAAGAGTTTTTTTTTTTTCAATTTCTGTAACGGTCTCGTCTATACGGGTGGTGTCCGGTTGAGCACAAATGCGGACACACGATTGGACCCGATGATTGGAGTTGTATTTATACGGGAAACACGAGAAAGATTTTTTAAAATATAAGAGTCATAATTAGAAGTTTGATACGGTAAAAAGTTATAAGTCACTGAATTTTCAGTTACTGCTTGTACTGCTCGTTGCTGCTCGTTTCCCTTTTGTCTTTCCAAACCGATAAACTTGAAGAACAAACATGCTGGAATAAATGAATAAAATTTTATACTTGAAAGTTGAAAGCTTTTCAAATCTAGATTGCTATTGATTGTACAAAGGACTGACTTCGAAAAGTTACAGCCATTGTCCCTTTAGTGGAACCAGAGCGACACATTTGGCACCCGCATCCAGAGGATCTTGATCTGAACTTGATCGTTTGACTAGAAGAAATTTTTTGATTCCTAGGCAGACAGATTATAATATGGACAGCTTAAATAATCTTCTTGTCTATCTATTATTAAGCTTAGATTCTGGTTTTTGATCTGGTCAAACCTCATTTGGAAATAAAAGTCATCCGACTAGCTGATAAACAAGGACTAGCTGATAAACAAGGACTAGCTGATAAACAAGGACTAGCTGATAAACAAGGACTAGCTTTAAAAAAAGAGGAGATTAGCCAAGTCTTTTGAAGTTCGATTTCTGAAATTGTTTAAGAAATTATACTTAAGATTTTTTACACAATTCTTTTTACTCTACGCCAACCATATAAACTTGAAGATATGAAAAGTATGTTTTCAAAAAAACTTTTTTTGGTATTATTTCCTGTGAGCCTATACAGTTTTTTCTGTTTGCTTTCGTTTCAATTTTCTACAATTCGTTCTCTAAACCAGTTCCGGTTTCTTTAAAAGCAAATTTTGATAACCTATCTGAAAGAAGAATCATTTTTCTTTTGAAATTCTACTTTCCGTAGTCAGATTGCTTTTGAAATTATCGATTTTGAGAGTCTTAAACATTTTTAGTTGAGTTTAAAAATCGTGGGAATTTAAAAACCTTGACATTAAAAACATTAAAAGATTAAAAAAAACATTAAAAGTGCAATTCAAAAAGCAAATTTCTCTTTAAAACAAACATAAATAAAAGGTAAAAATGGAATTTTCGTGGAATTTTCTAAATTTGAGTTTCGTTTTGCTTTATCTTGACAATTTTATTATAAAGACACGTTTACTAATGCGAACAGAACTTTTCTAAACCTGTATAAATCTCTATAAATAATGTTGTTTTCCCTAAAACATTGGTAAATTAACAAGCACAAGAAAAGCGAAGAAGAGCCAGTTTATTTCATCTGAAACTTTGTCACTCTATCTCTTGGTTGATGTTAGCATTGAAGACAGCTTTTCCGTTTTCCTCACAAAATAGCCCCATCACTTTTTCAATTTCCGGTCCTCAAAAAACCGAAAGGGATTCCTCCATCACTCTTGAAACAGCTCACTGACTGATAAGAATTGTTAGGCGAATTAATGCAGAAGTGTGTGAAATCTCAAAGGACGTTCGAACAGCAAAGTACACCCAAAAAAGCTTTTAATTATTGTTCACATTGTTCAACTTCGTCATAGCATTTAATTTATTTATTGCAAACAGTATTTGTCAAAGTTTCACTATAGCAAAAGAATTAATCCCTACAAAAGATACAAAAAAAGCTGAAAACATTATTTGATAGTTTGAAAAGTTCACAGTCTAGAGCATTTTCATTTTGATGTTGATTAGAGGATAAAAGGTTTTTAAGTAAAAAAGAGGATCTCTAGGTGTACTTGAATTCTTTTTTACCAAACTTTATCTTAGCAAACTTTTAGTCTAATTCTTTTTAATTCTCTGATTGCAAAGGCATTCCCGAAGACTTCTTATCGTTTATTAGTGACATCATACAGAGTTGGCGGACCCTATTTTCTTACTGTAATCCAATTTTCTCACAAAAAAAAAAAAAAAAAAAAAAAAAAACAAAATAAAATTCCAAATTTTTTCGTATTTTTTTTTTTTATTTTTTTTTTTTTTTTTTTTTTTTTTTTTTTTTTTTTTTTTCGCCCCCCGACTGAAATTTTTAATTTTTTTTTGGTTTGTGTTGGGCGTTGGTATTTAATTTAAAAAAAAAAAATAGTTTAAAAAAAACCAAAAAATTTTTTTTTTAAATAAAAATTTTTTTTTTTTTTTTTTTTTTTTTTTTTTTTTTTGTTTTTTTTTTTTTTTTTTTTTTTTTTTTTTTTTTTTTTTTTTTTTTTTTTTTTTTTTTTTTTTTTTATTTATTTAAAAAATTAAATTATAAATAGTTGTCCCAAAAATAAAAAAAAACCAAAAAATAAATACATTAATCCCCCCCCCACAAATGTTTCTTTTTTTTTTTTTTTTTATAATAAATTTAATTTTTAACGTTTTTAAAAAAAAAAAAAATTAAAAATTTTTAAAGATTAAAATTATTTTAATTTATAATTAAATAAAAATAAATTATTTTATTTTTTATTTTTTTTTTAATAACCTTTTCCCAAATTTCTAATAAATTTTTAATATTTTTTTTTAATAATATTTTTTTTTTTTTTTTTTTTTTTTTTTCCTCCCCTTTTTGCGACGTTTTAGGCCCTCGCGGCTTTGTTTGACAACCGTGGGGGGAAAAAAGAATAATAAAAACCCCCGGTGAAAAATTTTAAAAAAAAAAATTAAATTTTTCTTTTACTTTTAAAAAATAAAAATAAAATTTAAAAATAAAATTTGAACTAAAAAATCGATTTTTGCTAGTCCTGTTAGCCAACTTACGTCGATCTATCTATATATATATATATGTTGCATCAGAATCCGACCAGGCTTATAGGATCGGCTTTAGGACTATAGTTTCTGATCGGATTCTGATGTAACATATAGATTTAAACATTAGCCATACAGCTTGATACGACATATACATTACATCAGAATCCGACCAGGCTTATAGGATCGGCTTTAGGACTATAGTTTCTGATCGGTTTCTGATCTAGATTTAAGGATTAGCCATACAGGTCGATGATGTCTAGACAAAAAACGCGGTTAGCTGATCAAAATTTCGAATTTTTGAGAAACAAATGAACTTTATAACTTTCAGACGAATGGATGTTCCGCGTGTTGCGAGCAACATGGATACCAATTGGGCGGCCTTTGTGTTAATGTGACTTCCACTACCACATGGTGCTATTGTAATTAAAAGAACTTTCGAGGAACATACAAATTTTTTCTTATTATCACTTTATTGTGTTTAATAAAATGGCAAGAGTCAAAAGTTAATGAATAAATGCACGTGGCAGAAGAAATGTAAAACGAAATGGTGGTGTTTCCATGGAGGTAATAAGAAACTTAGTAAATCTAGGTAAATGGATTTAAGGATTTTAAAAAAACATCGGCAGATCAAGAGTTAGCATGAAATTAAAAGAGTCTAGGATTTGAGTGAAACATTCTAACAACAGTAATTATGCTTATATTGTCTATGTTATGACTGAGGAGCGCGTTGTTGGGCGGACCCTGACTGGAGAGGGAAGGTAGAAAGAGATAGAATCGGTCGTTGTCGGCGGTTTTGCGATGTCAGTGACGGAGTTCGGCTTTGTTCTTCTCAAAAAGAGCCCGGTCACAAGGCTGAATTTAGATATCTCAATATCGTCGGCTCATAGAGTTCACATAAATAGTTGGCTGTTTTCTCAAAACGTTCGACTCGAACAATAGTTAGATTAGAGATTCAGTTAGATTTGACTGGGCTCAACGTCTCCTTTTAACTTCCTAAAACTGACTAGCTTGACTTTTCTGTTCTTCAGTTAACTGGCTTTCTGTTAACTGGTTAACTGGTTCTCCAACTTCACAGCTTTAAAAAGTAGCTCTAAAGTCTCGAATCTGAGCCAGAAAGTCTAGAAAGTCTAGTCTAGCCTGACTTCCTGCCTAACTGGTTAACTAACTGCTCTCGAAAGTACTTGTTCTAGTTCTTTGTGAATTGGTGAATTATTATAGGAAAATCGTTATAGGGAATCAAAATTTGTTTATTCTAAAAAACGGTTTACCTCTGCCCTAAAGTGTAGAGTCCGCCGCGAACGACGTTGACGATTTGTAATGCTAGTGAAAGCAGGAATCTACCGAGGAAAGGAGCGAATATCGTGTGCAACACAATTAGCCCCAAATAGTTAATCGCGTAGATCACCGAGCTGCAGATCATCTAAAATTTAACTTTTAATTAATTTGATTTAAACTTTGACTTAATGAACTTATTGATGAACGATAACGATAACCAGTGATGATGGGGTTTTTTTTGTTTGCTTGAAAAGTGGAGAGCATTTTCTTATAGCAAACTGAATCTAATAGGTTGATGCATAAGTCTTTTCGTTTTTTTCGTACTTCTGTTAAAAAGTAACAAATTCACCAATTAATCTATAGTTTGCTCTATAAAAAAAGTGTTTTTTTGTTCAATTTGCATCTTTTTAAATGAATTTCGGTTCACTTTCAAGCAAATTCGAGAGTGAAAAACGCCTTTTTCGTAAAAATCTATAAAAAACTCTACGGAAAAATTGGCTGAATGAATTTCTCTGAAATTTTGGCGAAATATCAAACGTTTTTTTCCTCTATCTTTTATCTATTGACACGAAGATAGGTTTTCTTTAGCTAAGGTGTCTAAACCGCATCATCGAGTTAGCCCTTTTCCCAAATTCCCCCCCTTTTGACTACCCGACTTCATACTCTCAAGAAAATCCAGGCATTAAATATTTTTAAACCCGTTTTAATGTTATTTTGCAGAAAAATAATTCGTTTTTCTAATGAAATCAACCGTAGTTTAATTCGTGCATTTGTTGGCTTGAAACGGCAGACGAAAAGGAACAAAAACACTTATGCATCAACCTAATATCATTAAAACTTATTGATGAACGAGAACTATAACCAGCGACCAGTAATGGTGGGGTTTTTTTGATTGCTTGAAAAGCCGAGAACATTTTCTCATAGCAAACTGAATCTATCATTAAAAAGCAAGCATTCAAAAAGTTTGTCTTTTATTCTGGCTTTGATTCATTGAAACAAAGATGAGACAAAGAGCCAAAGTTTGACCAGTTTGACCTTGGTGTAAGTAATTATTACTCACTGTAAAGTCTTACTTTCAAAGTCTAAAAGTCATCATACAATGTGCTCGTTTTCTGGGATACAAAAGAATTCTCCCAAATAGAACCAACCTGTTTCATCAATCTCTTCTCTGTTTATTTGTCTAGTTGTCTATTTGAAAGTTGTAAATCTTCTCTACAAAATAGGCTAAAACGTGTTTCAATTGATCGAAGCATTGAAGAAATTTCGAGACCGAAATGCGAGTGACCAAAAAAAGGAATTGACTCACTTTAGGGACAAGTTTAGTGTGGTCAAAATAGAGTTAGCTTCCCAAAATTGAAGATTTAAAAAAAAAAGGATAACTGTATATCAATTCCTTAAAAAAGTCTAACGAAAATGCATTTACAGAAATTTAGATAGAGCGTAAGTTCAAAAAACCCAAAATTGTGAAAAAGCCGGCTTTTTCACAAAAAGGAAAAATTATTGTAAAAACAAAGTTTTCCCATGAAATGATCCCAACTCTTCATTATTTTGAATGATATTTTAGGGCGCTTTTATTGATATTTTAAGGCATTTTCCACTCAATAGTCAAAACCGAACTCTTGTGAAAGTGGGATTTTCAAAAAGTGCCCTTTTTTGGTCACTCGCATTTCGGTCTCGAAATTTCTTCAATGCTTCGATCAATTCAAACACGTTTTAGCCTATTTTGTAGAGAAGATTTACAACTTTCAAATACTTTATAACATTCATCGATATCAGGTTTCTATCGTTGAAAATTTATGTTGTTGAAAATGTTGGAATCCGCATTTCTTATGCATTTACCTAATATTACTCACTGTAAAGTCTTACTTTCAAACTCTAAAAGTCATCATACAATGTGCTCGTTTTCTGGGATACAAAAGAATTCTCCCAAATCGAACCAAACCTGTTTCATCAATCTCTTCTCTGTTTATTTGTCTATTTGTCTATTTGAAAGTTGTAAATCTTCTCTACAAAATAGGCTAAAACGTGTTTCAATTAAAGAAATTGAAGAAATTGAAGAAAATTGAAGAAATTTCTTCAATGGTATTCTTTCTTCATCTTATTCATTCTACAATTTCTTCAATTTCTTCAATGTAGAGAAGATTTACAACTTTCAAATAGACAAATAGACAAATAAACAGAGAAGAGAACAACTTTCAAATAGTTTATCGATAACATTCATCGATATTTCTATCGTTGGAAATTTATTCAAATCTTGAAATCCGCATTTCTTATGCATGTACCTAATATTTCACTCACTGTAAAGTCTTACTTTCAAAGTTTAAAAGTCATCATACACTGTGCTCGTTTTCAAAATACAAAGATACAAAAGAATTCTCCGAAATCGAACTAAACCTGTTTCATCAATCTCTTCTCTGCTTGGGTCAACTTGTCTTTCTTTTGATGCTAAATTTTCGTTCTTAAGCTCTAGATGATTGCTGTAGATGATTGCTTACATTTTTCAATTTTCTCCAAGTAAAAAAGTCCAAGGTGATCATGAAAGCGATGATAATAGTGCTGACAATCGAGTCAAAATCAAATTGAAAATTGGCTTTAAAGAATCGATCTAGAGCACCATGAACAACTCCCAATAAACAACAGAAAAACAATTGAAGAAATGGCCATCGGAGAGTCAATGAAAAGAATTTCCCGCTAAAGGAAATCGCCATGAAACGACTGGAAATTCTTTTTACCAATGTTACAAGTATTTGTAAACCTTAATGAGATGAACGCTTGGCAATATGTGATTAGCGTTAACAACAAGTAGCCGTATTGTGCCGTTGTGTAGGGAAGACTGTCGGGAGAACAACTGAAAGAAAAGAAACTCCTTAAAACCCTAGTACAGAGTGAAAAAAAATTATTGAAGAATTATTGGTGCACTCTTTTGATAATATAGTTGTCAAAGGCTTAATTGAATTCAAAAGTATCAAGTGTTCGATAGAGAATTGAAGCCCTGAATCTTGGCTACATTTATTTGCCGCGAAACTTTGAAATTATAAAATTCGATTCAACTATTAAGCTCGCAAATGAGCTCTAGCCGGACTGGTGAGCCTGACTGGACTGGCTCTAGCCGGACTGGACTGGCTCTAGCCGGACTGGACTGGCCCCCCCCCCCCCCCGGCCTGCCCGCCCCGCCGGCCGCCCGCCCCGCCCGGCCCGCCCCCTCCCCGACTGATTGTCATTTTTGCCAAACTCACGATCCACTCAACGGCCAAAGATTACAGTAAATGAGAAAGGCGATTGTGATCGTGTAAGCTAAACGAGTCACACTCTCGCTTGTAGCGATCGCTCTGAAATTTTCTATTAAATATAGAAGCTGGTTTATAGCTAGTTTATAAGCAAAAACTAGTTTCTCACCTGATCGACAAGCTCAAAGTGTTATTGGTGACCGAGCTGTAGATGGCAAAGAGGTTTGTGGGAATGGAGAGAGAATATATCTGAAATAGTAAATAGTTCTAAACGATTAGTTTAGCTATTCTGCGACAACTCACCACAAAAATGATATAGTTTAGGGAGGAGGAGATGGACATGAAAGTCATCATATCGATCTCAAACGGATGAACGACGTTCGTCTCAGCTTCGCGATTCCTTGTCAACGTCGCGCCGAGAGTTTTCCCCGTATATGCCAGAACTAGACAAAAGCTTTTTAAGAAGAGAAAGCTAAAATATTGCTTCTTTATCTTTTCTCTAATTCTAGAAAATGTTTAGTGAAATAGCCGGATTACGATAGCTTAGACAAGCTTCAATTTGGCCAGTTTTTGAGTGCTAATTGTAATTAGCTTTTGAAATAGTTAGTTCTTAAAAGTTAGCAAGCTTGTGTTATCAAAAATAATTTGAAATGAGTTGAAGAATGCTTTTTGTTCCTTCTAAGTAGTGAAAATTTCAAGTTTCACCTGTAATTTCACTTCGAATTCCTGACTTACTTGTGACGAGTGATCCCGTGAGTAGAACTTGCAATGTCTCATGATGTTCACTCCAAAATCTTTGCACCTTTATGAGCACAGGCATGATTGTCTGAGAAAAGAATTTTATCATGAAATTTCCCCCCAAAATTTGGGGGAAATTTCATGATAAAATCTTTGAGATCTAAATAAACGAATAGTGTTCTAGGATCCATTTTTCGTTAAATTTTTCAATGGTTAAATCAAGACAAATCTCATCACATGGCACTTGTTTTCAGCTTAATTTTAGGTGGGTTTTATTAGCTAATGCCTTTTTTGGTTTTTTTACAGTTTAATAATTGCAATCACTGTGAAAATTTCGCGTATTTCTATGGTGTGATTGCTGAGAAATTTAGTTTTAAAAAATTCGGCCATGACTTATGCATCAATAGGTTTTGAAAATCTCAATGCGAATAGAGTTTTTCAAAAAAAAAAAAAAAAACAAGTAAAATTTTAATGCAAAAAAGCAATCACCGTTAAATCACTGTTAAATTTAAGCAATCACTGTTAAAATCTGAAAGATAGCAAGGCACTTACATAGTTTTTCTGCTTAATTTCAACCAGTAGAAATGAGGCAAAAAAAAAGCAATCAAATTTTCATAAAATCGTACAACAAAGATGAGATTCTGATGGGTTTTTGTTTTAGAGTTTCCCCATGAGATTTCTCCCAAACTTTTATTTCTCATTTCAATTTCCATTTTGATTTGAATATGATTTTAATTTCCCCCATTAAATTTCCCCCCATTAAATTCCGCCATTAAATCCGCCAAACTCCTGTTTAAGAATTGCAATCACTGTTAAAATTTGGCGCATTTCTTTCGTGTGTTTGCTGAGAAATTTAGATTTAAAAACCCCGCCATAACTTATACACTACTGGACAATGAAATATCATATTTGAAAAAACTCTTTCGCACTTTCGCGCGTCTGTAACTCCCTTGTCTTTGCCGTATTTCTAAATATTAATATTACCATTGTGTAGCCCTTTGAAAAGAGCTTTCAGAAAATGTATAACCCTAATAGTTTAAACTCAAAGACAAGGGAGTTAAAGACGCGCGAAGGTGCGAAAGAGTTTTTTCAAATATCATATTTCATTGTCCAGTAGTGTCCATCTAATATACTTATTACTTATACAATCAATCTAATAGTTTCTGTTTTATTCAGTAGAACATAATTTCAGCTTTTGTTATCTGTTAAATGTTATCTAACTATTGGGGAAAACCCGGTGACACTTTTGAGAAAAGGCAATTACGATTCAATAGCATAAACAAAGCTATTTACAAAGGCAATTACGATTCAATAGCATAAACTCGAAAGACTAATGTTTTTTTTACAAATGGTGCTTTAGCATGGACTAAAATCTAATCTAAATGTAAGAACTGGCTACATTGTGCAGACAATTTATTGAGGTTCACAAAAGAAATGGAAAATGGCATGTTGTCGATGCGAAGAGTTCAATCGTCATGACTCTAAATCTCGAAAACGGGGAAGGGGTACAAAATCTGCGGATGTGGCTACAAATCTAGAAATCTATTGGACCGAGGAGAATGAAATGGCGCCAAAAATCAAAGAAATTTCTAAAACTTCTCTTCAACTTCGTCAAATGATACGTGATTAGTAGAAAGGTTCACGAATTCTCTAGAAAATGACATTTAAAAGAGAACTCAAACAACGCTTCAGCTCAACAAAAGGCCATTTTTCATCTATAAACTGTCATCTAGAGAAAACGGTTGAAGGGATGTTGCTGAAAATTTGACAACTTATGTAATTGAGTGTGCTCTATCTTTTTTATGTAGACACCAAAGGAGGTTTATGTGGAGGAAATTGGTCAAACGATGTGTCGGACTTTTTGCCATTTTGTTGAGCTGTGTTTGGGAGTCTATAAACTCGACGAAAGAAAAGCTTTCTGGAATCTCTCAAAGGTCATTTTATAGAGAAATAGTTGAACGTTTTAATGTAAAAAAAATGTATTGAAATAATTTAATTTATTTAATAATAATTTAAATAAATAAATGATTTATGGATGCAAAAAAAATGTCTTAAAAAAATGTCAAAAAAAAAAAAAAAAAAATGAAAAAAATTCGACGCTAAAAATATTTATTTCAATAAAATCGTGTTTATACAAAGCATGATTTGCACTTTTTTATACCCAAAAGTTCGGTAATAAACAAAGGTATTCAGTATTCGAAAGGTAATTCAGATGGCTGGAATGGCTGGCAATCACATGGCTGGAAAATTGAAAAGCACAAAGGCAATTTTCCAATTCCAATTTGCAAGGAAACAAATTGCAAAGTATGAACACGTAAAACGATAAATGATAAGCGTAAACCCTACGAAAAGGACGAAACGACGAAAAAGCTAACATTATATATGTCGTAGCCGATTATGAATGAAATTTTTTGGTAAATCTTTCTAGTAGAGCAACCCTTTAATGTATGAGGACAATATTATATCATCCTGTAGCGAATTCAATTCTGCGTCGATTGGTACCAAATTTGTGAGCTTAGGTTAAAAATTACCGGCGCTACAACGTTTCATTCAAAATCGGCGGGACCCCCGTAGCCGATTATGAATGAGCGGGTCCGGACGCGTCCAACCATCAAGTATTTGGTATCATTCAACGCAGAATCATTAATAATTATGTTAAATTTTTTAAATTAGAAAGATTGGATAAAAAGCAAAAAAACTGTTTGTTCAAGAGGAAACTTTGAGGGATTGATAACTAGAAGGGCCGCCAAGAAGCCTCTGATGGTTGCCAAGCACAGGAAGATCCGACTCGAGTTCGCAAAAAAGTATCAAAGTTGGACGCCGAATGACTGGGCCAATGTCATTTTCACCGATGAGTCGAAGATCAATCTCTTCAACCCTAATGGCAATCACTTGATCCGGAGACCAGTTGGACAACGCCATAACATCAAATACTTGCGGCCGACAGTCAAATTTGGTGGCGGATCGATTATGCTATGGGGTAAAAGACTTGTTCCCTTATGTCAACTAATCTTGCTTTTTTTCAGGAGCGATGACTAGAAGTTCACCAGGTCCGCTCGTCTTTCTCAACTCAACCTTGAAGGCCCAGCGGTACAAGACGATCCTGGAGAATGATCTTCTTCCATTTGCGACCACGAATATGTATATACTTTATCCGACAAGGAAAAGTGACAATGCAAACAGATTGAACTGAATATGGGACAAGGATGGTTGTTGTACCAGGATAACGCTCCGTGTCACAAGCACCAGATGTTGATAGGAAGGGTCGGCCGACTTTCAAACGGTGGAAGGGCTCGTTTACCGGGATGGTTCGCTGAAAATCGTGTCAAGCTCGTCGCTGCTCCACCTGCCCGGATCTCAACGTAATCGAGCATTTGTGGTCGCACATCAAGGGTAAACTGAAGGGCAAACGATTTGCGACCAAGGTTGAGCTTTGGTACTTCATTCGAAGCGAATGGCGGAATTTCTCCTCAAATCTTGGAGGATTTGACTGATTCGATGCCACGGAGGATTCAGGCAGTTATTCAAGCTAAGGGAGGCCCGACAAAATATTAGATTTTTGTTTTTATCAATTTTTATTTTATGTGTGACATTTTTTTTGTGCACCCGTTTTTGGTGTTCTTCCGGTATTTATTGAAAAATAAAAATTTAAACAAATTGCTGGAACTTGAACACTTTTTCACAAGAAAGTAGAAGCTTTTTGCTATCTAAAACCTTTTGACAGCATAGAATTTGGAACACGTTTAGTAGGTCAAATTTAGGCGTAAAGTTTTGTAAAAAAGATGTGACATTTTTTTTGGTGCATGGGTGTATATTTCAAAAAAATAAGAGATTTCTTCAGCTGAAGTAACTTGATCACTTTTTGCGTGACCAAACTTTAGACAAGTTTTTAATGGGTTAATGGATTCTCTTATCGACCGCCTTTCATTATTGGTTTCTTTGGATATACGGAGTACCGTGCTCTGTACACTGGATAAAGTTTTAAACTCGAGATGCCAAGATGATTCGAAAATACATGGTTTTAGCTATTGCTTGATATTGATTTCACTTGCCTAGTGTGATGCGTGTGCCAGAGAGGGCGTATTTCCGGTTTGATTCGAAAATGAATCCCAAATTTAGAAACTGAGGCTAAAAACCCAAAATCTCGATATCCTTTTCTCGTTCATACATCATATTGTTCTTTCGAGTCGATTCTTGTCTACACTCATCACTCTTTTTTTTCTTCATTCCCCTTTCTTCATTCCCTTTTCAAGGGGTCCACATTTCCGTTGTTTCCTCTCCCCTCTCAACCAAGCGGTCATTGCTCTTCTGGATCTTATTTTTGATAGACCACACAACATTTCTTTTTTTGTTTCCAGTCTTATTTTAATTGCCTTGCAAAGAACTTGTCACCTGAAAACACCCCTTTTCTGGCGCACTCAACTGTTTCTTTGTTTCTTTGTTTTGTGTAAAATCGAGCTAACAATAATCGGTTGGGTAAATGAAGCGGATTCTAGTGTACCAGGTGGCTCACGTTTTCCACAGTAAACTAGATTTTTTTTCCTTTTTAACACTTCAATTATGAAGAAAATTAGGAGTTGAGTGTTCCAGAAAGTGTGTGTTTCGATTTTTGAGCTCAAGGCCCATTATCCATGAGACTTGAGCTATTCTATGTTCTAGCTATTCTAGCTATTGCGTTCAAAAATGGAAGCACACCATTTCTGAAGCACTGACACCGCTTGTTTTGTGACAGTAAACCGTTTTCTAAAAAACTCAGTACTCTAGAAATGATGTGCATCGGTTTTTTGAGCATAAAGTACACTAAAATCTACTAGACTCGAATTGGGTCCTTTCTGTTTTTCTTTTCCATGAGTTATTGCTGTCATTATCCCCGGGTCGTTAGACATACACACCGAAAATCTCAACAAATTTAGATAAAACTCGTTTTTGATTTTGCTAAGCTATTTTTGGAGACAATTCTTTTTTGTTGCCCTTGGAAAATTTCTCAAAGCTAAACCTTTCTTCTGTCTTTTTCCCCAAATTTGGTTGCTAGGGCTGAAAGTTGCGTTGATTTTGAAAGCAGACAAAAAACGTAAAGCTCTA